AACTGGGCAAACACCATTTTGGAGGAGGACAGGCCTGAAAGTCTTTATGAAGGTCTCTCCATTCTCACTGTTTGGAGCAAAGAGGGCAACCAGTGTCCACCTGAAATGCAGGAGCAGCTGGGCCATCTCCAGGTAGATGGTTCCTCCTTTGGGAACTGCCCAATAGAGAAAAGGGAACCGGCTTTTATCTGCCAGAACTTGAGAAACAGAACCGTACATGATCTATTAAGAGAAGGAAGAGAGAAAGAGTGCACCAATTTCCCTGCCAAAGCTAACATGTTTATTCCCCCTGTCAACAATTCCATTTCCTTCTATGTGGTATAAAACTACTGGGTGGGTTGCATGACAAGAGAAGCCACAGACATTCTTTTTCATGGTCATCTCTTCCCACCACATCATCCCAACACAGACTTATGCTCTCCGTGTGCAATCTTGAGTATTCCAATGTCCCACAGAGGTTTCCTTGATAGTTTTCTCATTCATCCTGCTAGGAAGCCCAGAACAGGACAGCTGCTTGGCTAGGTGGATGTATCCTGCTTGTTAACTGGCTGTCCGGAGGGTTACAACCTCCTTGGGAGGCTTTGCATAGTGCAAGCACTTTTAGAGCAGCTTCCACTTCATTTTCTAATGAATGGGAGACTGCTTGATCCTGAAAGGCAGTCAAGCATTGAGAAGAAGTGGGAGATTTCCCCCCCACAACCCACACACACACTGGTGTCCATGAATTTTCTATCTGCAAACCTATGCATGGGAATAAACCTAGGCCTGCTATTACATGCACAGGTTCTGCCCTGGAGTCCCAGAAATTCCTTGTACAGATGTTCCGCATTCCCCCAAATCTCAAGGATTGTATGGTATTTTGCTGTGATGCTGTTAGCTCCTCATATCTGGGGAAAAGCCAAATCAACCATCCTAACAAATACCTATATGCCCATTTAACCCTGATTTTTTATGAAAGGGAGAAGTAGTCAGTAAAGTTCTAGGGAAAATTTTATGATTTCTTTGGAAAGAAGTCTAAGCAGTGCTTGACTCACCCTTCAAATTCCAGCCCACCTGTGGGATTTTGTAGATGCTCAACATTGAAGAAATGTACATGGACTGCTCTGAGTTTGCCCCTTCAAGAGCAGCCAGCAGCTTGGTCTTTCTCCCGCATCTGTAGTTTGGCACAAATGCCTGCCCAGTAGAAAGCAGATCGAGCAGGGCCTCACAAGTTATGCTCACATCAAAATAATTGTCATAGAGACTGTAGCCCAGGGTGACGTTGGACAAGATGCTAGGGTTCCGGTTGATGTCCTGAATGGCAAAGAGGAAGAAGAAGAAGTACCAGGGCAGGGAAGAGCGTAGCCTGCAGAAAACAGAGGTGACACCAAAATGTCCAGAGGTTGCCTCTCTGAGCACACGAGTCTTTCCAGGCCATCGAAATCCCTGCTGAACTCTTTCGAACTTTACTCCTGCCTGCACTCAGCCAGACCCAAAGCCAGAAGCAGTGGAAGCAATGCATGCTTTGTGGTCTCTGCCTGTCTCTGGTGGGGAGGGTGCTTTGCACTCTGCACAAGCCAGCCAGAGCCTGCGATGGGAAAAGGAAATGGGAAAATGCCAGGAAGGAACCCCATCTTACACCAGCACATTTGGCAAAACTGTGGCTGAAATACAGGAAAAGACGGGCTCCAGCTTGAGGGGGAAAGGCAAAGGAAAAGGTCATCAGCAGCGTTTCTCTTGTCCTCTCTAGGCAAATGTCAAAAGGAGCATGTGGTTCAATGCGCTCTTGGAATCCCCATCCAATAGCTGAGCTGGCATCATGCAGCCCGGCTCTGACGTTTCCAAGTGTATTTCCCTGGCACTTTTTCTGAGCTTGCTGCACTGCTCAGTTGATTTGACAGCTGTCATTTTGCATCCCTTTGCCTGAATTTTCTCCCTTGGATGCATGCCCTAACAAGGTGAGGGGGTATTTCACTGGAGACCACTGATGAAAACATCCCCGCTCTTCTACTGTATATTCAGCAATAACGAACAGATTTGACACCTGGACCAAGAAGATGCTTGATGGGATGTGCTCGAAACATGGTACTGGTGGAGGGCTTGGCAAAGGCCCTGGACTCATACAAAGCCAAACAAGTGTGTCTCAGAGCAAATGAAGCAGGAGCAGGTCCTAGAAGCCAGAATGAGAAGTTGGGGGGCTGAACAGACAGGACCGTCTGGAAGGTGTTCATTCATATGGTCACAGTCAGTTGGAGATGACATGACAGCAAAGGAAGAACATGTCAGTTTTAGACCACTGTCACAGAACTGGTGTGTCTAAAAAGCAAAAAGCAATTGTGCGATCCCAAGTGATGGCCATAGCAGTCTGAACTTGCAGTTCTGAAACTCCTAGAGGGAAGGAGTGGGGAGGGGAGGGCTGCCTCAAAGATTCTCCCAGCAGGCCAAGTTTTTGCGCAATCAAGGCAAAGTATGGGTTGTTCCTCACTCCACCCTACCCCAGAACCCCAAAAAGGTGCCCCCTGGAAGGCATTGTGCTGTCCAGGAGAGTGGGGAAAGGTGCACTGAATTGCAGGGGGACTTCCAGGGTGGCAGCTGGAATAAGGCTCCCCGTGTCTGCTCAGACTGCATCTACCGATTGCAGAAATGGACTTAACTCTGTTATCGATCCATGTAGTTGAGTTAGTGAGGACAGAAATTCAGTAGGTTCATTCTTTTAAAACTTTGGAGGATCAGACAAATTGCAGACATTTGCAATGGAGTGGTCTCAATGGACTGCAGAAGAGCTGCAACCGAAAGAGAGTCTTTTCATCGAGAGACTCAGAACAAAACCAACCATGGCAGATTCAGGTTGAGGAGCACTGAGGCTTGGCATTGTGCTGAAAGACCTCCAGGAGAATGGCACCCCTCCCCCCGCCCCCAGTTCCTGAGGTAGCCTCCTTCAGGGTCTCAGAGCTCCAATGAGGGAGGCTGGAGCTCAGGAAATCTGCACTGAAGGGAAGAACTGTGACTCCATCACACACCTGATGACTCACCAGCTATATTTGAAAGAGGGAGGCTCATAGAAAGTGAATGGGTAATATACAATATGTCCAGTAGAGATGACCCCTCCTATGAGGAGGTCGCCTGGCTTGTAATAGTTAAATGGGGAAACTTCGTTCCTTTGCCACGTCAAGGGGCGTTTGACCTCACGCATCCCACAGGTAGATGAAGATAACAGAATCAGTAAGCACAGAAGCAGCATCCTAGGACAACCTCCACCTTGTGCTTCTGCTCTCAGCTCACTAGGAGAGCAACAGGAACAGGCAAAGCAAGACCAAGGCTTAAGTCCCTTTCCTGGACAGATGGAGCCCAGACAAGCAAAGCTTCCTGTTTTAAAGAGGTGAGGATACGCCCAAGCAAACAGGATCTTCGTCAGCTGCTCTCAACCCCCTCCCAGGCTCCCAGTGGGACAACATATTTGTGAGCCAGTCCTTCCCTGTGCTAACGCAAGAGTTCACCTTCAGCCCCTAGCTAACTGGGTCTTTACACCAGGGAATTCAAGCAGGAGCTCTGGGGAAACCCTTTGAGCTTTGGAGGGAATGATCAGAACAAATCACCATGTTGGGGCTTCCTTTGGGATTCTCAGGGAAGATTCTTCATCAGCTCTGTAACCTCCTGATTTTGGTGTCGCTCTCCATGCGAAGGGTGCCGCTGGGGGAAAATGGCTTTGCGAGGACCCTTCAGGGGCACCACCACCTGAACTTGGCAGCAAGGGAAAGCTGAGCTCGGTCTGACATTCACCAATGAAAGACCTTCCTCTGAACCACGATTGAATGATTTCTTTCTAGAAACATGCCCATGGAATTTTTAAGTCTTGGAAGTGCATTTGGCCAAGATTGTCCAAGCCTCAGTAGCAGATTTTGACTGTTTCCCAAGATGAGTTTAGGAATCGTCAACCTCCTCAGTGGGGTCTTGGCAATTCTTTGGGCTACAACTCTTTTGTACACCCTCCTTCTCTCTTTGTTGATATGTAGATCCTTCTGCAATGATGGATTTCATGTTACTCCCTCCAGATCTGACTTCCTAGCGGTACTCAAGGGGCAGGGGCATTTTCCTTGCACCCATCTCAGATGGCTCCCAGCTGTCCTTCTTGCCCTGTTTCATGGCAGGGCTGCAATTCCTGAGCCATATGAAGGAATGGTTGGGCACCGTCCTCTACCTACACCTGGCTACTTTCACCCACTCTGGCTAATGAGGATCCTTCTATCCAGAAACGATTACTGAGGTCACAGAAGGGTTTTGTGAAGTTCTGTTTTCCTGGGATTTTGGAATGAAAACCACAAAAACTGTTTTATTTTTGTGTTGGAGTTTGAAGGAGGTGGGTTGGCCTGAAGTAAAACGGCTCAGAAACTGTCCAAGCAAGTAGACAGGCTACTGTGTGTCAGAAGGATCATTTCTTCTGGTGTCAGCCTATTGATAATTGTCTCCCGTGAGGAACTCTGCCGGACAAGGGTCCAGCACCAGCACCACTTCTAGAAAGCATGTTTCCAAAACCCAGGCATACAACATATAGGGATAAGACATTATGGCTCTGTGCCTGGATCCAAATGACTTCCAGGGACAAACTCATGCGCTACACAGAGATGCCCCCAGTCAGGAAATCAGGAACATAAGATCCTGAGAAGAGAAGAAGAGCCATGCTGAGTCAGTCCAAGGGTCCATCTAGTCCAGCACTCTGTGGACATGATTGCAGACCACCTGCCCTCCGGATCCCTCCGACACAATGGGTCCAAGACCTCCCCCTGCTCAAGCTCCTCAGCAAGTGTTGTGTACAGGCATGCCTCCTCTGGTAACGGAGAGAGCACATGGCCAACTAGGCTAGTAGCCATGGGTGGCTTCCTCCTCCTTCATGAATTTTCCCTATCCGCCTTTGACACCATCCAAATGGGTGGCCAACACTACCTGCAGGAGCAGATTCCACGGTTTGACTGTACATGGGGATTTGTCATTGCTGCAACAGCACATGCACAGTCATCCAAAGGAACATGTACCCCCCCACACACACACACACACAAGCTAACAGAAAGGAAATGTGGACTACTGCATAGAACCATATGAACATTTTTCATGAGCAACTTTGACATGATTTGGACTTCCAATGAGATTCCATTAGGACACACGTAGGTTCATTCGACTCCCACTTTAGTACAGCTCCCAAGCACTTCTGCACCACAGGGGCAGGTTATTCACTGCCATGGCTTACTTCCATTCTTCCATTCTAGTTTCACCCCTTTTGCTGGTTATTGGAGGCCTTCCCAACCTTGTTTGTCATTTGACCAGCACAGGTTTGAACACTTGATCTCTGTGCTTCAGCTCCTCCTGCTGCAATTGAGCTCTGGCATGAACAGTCCAACCACTAACCATTCTCAGCCACCTCAAGAAAACTCATACAGAGAAACCCATGGCCTTTATCCTCTAATACTCATCTATTGGTGTATACACTGATTATATGGTAAATCAATTGTGTTACTTGATCACATGCTATGGAATAACAACAAACACTCAGTCATTTTTGGCTTCACATTTGGCTCTTTCTTGGGAAATTTTTGGCCAGTTCCCCTCCTTCCACATCGTGACCCACCCACCCATCTCTGGCCAGGTTCCTCACTTCCTTGAAGGGACCTCTAGGGCTTTCCATGATCCTTAATCCACTTGGATCTTGTGATGAGCCCAGACACCCCCAAATGAAACATCCAGGTTCTTGGCCCTATACAGCCATGAAACCTGCTGGGTGGCCTTGGGATAGTCACTGACCCTCACCTACCTCACAAGGATGTTGTTGTGAGGCTAAAATGGAGAGGACGCCACCCCAAGTCCCTTGCAAGAGGAAGAAAGACAGAATGTAACAGTGATGTAATAATAGCAATCTCTAACTGGTAGTCCAAGGCACCACTTCCACCACTTCCGGATACTTATGTTATGGACTCATTGCAATGAAGCATGACTGAGAAGGACCAGGCATGATTTGTCATCTCCGGGACTAGCTGCTGCCTGCAATGGAGGAGCACAAGGTCCAGGTGCTTCCACTTGAACTCAGAGGGCAGAGACTTGCTTCCAGGTGTGCTTCCACTGCAAGCCTGAGGAGGCTTGCAACCTGAGGAACTTGTGCTTCTTCCCCAGTAGGATCCACCAGGTGCAGACATCTTGCAAATTGGGATTGGATCACCTTGCTTGGATTCCTGCCTGAACAATCTGAGTGCGGTGCTTAGTCACTTGCTGCAAGGAGAGGAGCAAGATGGAATCAGTTGCTTTGGCTTGGAGAATAGGGAGGAGCTGATGTTCTCTCCCTCTCCCTCTCCCTCATGCATGCATGCATGAACGCACACACTTGATCACTTTTGAACTGACAATGATGCCACCTGCCTCCAAAACTGGTCACCTGTCAGAGAATTTGGTCCAGAAGGAAGTCACACACTTGAGGGTGCTTTGCAGCCGGCCTGGCATTTCCCTGCAGAGACAGAACCAGGAAAGGACAGTTGAAAGACATCTCCAAAGCTCCACCACCCTCTGCCCTGGCAGTGAGGCTGAGCACTCAGAGTTTCTCAATGCAAGGCATTTTGGTGCACCTCTTATCCATCACACAAGAATATTTGTGGAGCCTTTTCCCAACCTCCTCTTCCTCCTCCAAGGCCCTGCTGAGACATCCTGCCTTTTTTGCATGAGGAAACGGCCATGTTCATAGAGGGTGCCAGTATAAGCTACAGAGGTTGGGTGTAATTTTGCAATTCTGTCCCAGACCTTGTATCATATAACAGCACACTTAGGAACGTACAGTAAGCAGAGAGAACTCAAATACTCCCAAAAAGGAAGCAGAAGAAGCTCTCAGAAAGCAATGAGTTGAAGGTCTCAGGCAGAGAAGCCTTCTGGCCCTCAGCCTTCCCTGGGGGATGACAATCTCCTTCCCTGCACTGGAAAAGCCAAAGCAGTGAGTCTTGGCTCCACTCCACCAAGATGGTTCACCTTTGGGCTGCAAACTGCAGAAGATGCAGTTTGAGTGGGTAAAAATGGTTGTGAGACTCGATGACAAGAGTGGAAATCCAACAGACATCCCATTGACTGAATGATGACTCAACTGACTCCCAACGGATTTATACCATATGGGGCTGGGATCCTGTGCAGAGGGCTTCCAGAAGTATGGGGAAGTGTTCCACACTGATGAAGTCAATTGGACCTCTCAAAAAGTTGGATTGAGGAGAGAATCCAGACTGTGGACCTGATCTTCTAAAGGGAGTAGAAGCCCCCTACTGTAGTATAAATATGGGGTCTTCCTAAATATGAAACTAGAGATTTTTAGGGGTTCCTGTAGGTCTCTCCAAAAAAGCCCCATTAATGCCATGCAATCATTCCACCTCAAATGATCCATCTGCAGTTGGAGATATTCTGTTTGGTCTTTAGATCAGGGAATCTGTTTGGGGATGGGAATCTGTGACAATCCTCAGGCTTGGCTCCCTGGACTCTGGCCTGCTATGTTGGGTCCAGGGGTAGGGCAGAGACAAGACAGAGGCACTAGGATGGGGCAACAGAACCAAAGGTGGGACAGGGTTTGAAGTCCAGTGGTGAAGCTCAATGGCAAAGGCAATGGTTCATGGCAAGACCAAGTCACAGCCATGGCAGAGGCTGAGCATGAGAACGAGAAGGACATATCTGAGGGGCAAGGAGAGGAAGAAAAACAGATATATAGGTGCTTGAGGCAGATTTACGGCAGGATGCACAACGAAGTGCAAGAGACACGGCAAGGGTCAGGCAGGATGCAGACACCACAGCAAACAGAGGGACCTGTGATGCTGAGGCAGCATGGCAAGGCAACATACACAGCAAGGAGCAGGAGACACGGCAAAGGCCAGGCAGGATGCAGGCAAACAAGGCACTATCCGAACAGTGAGGCAGGGTACAGGTCAGGCAGGATGCTGGCACAGCAGCAAACAGAGGGACCTGTGATGCTGAGGCAGCATGGCAAGGCAGCACACACAGCAAGGTACAAGAAATGCAGTAGGGACCAGAGCAGGCACTGCAGAAAACAGAGGACCTGCCTGCTGAGGTCAGATTTGCAGGGAAGAGCTTGTCCTTTACGAGCATTTCCCCCAGGACTCCCAGCTGGTAGCTGAGAGCCCCAACAAGGTGGAATTGATCCTGCAAGGACTGTGGGGCTGGATTTGGTTCTGGCCCAGACCCTGACACTGAATCTGAGTTCCTGGCAAATGTGCCCATTGCTCACAGGGGGCTCCCCATAAAGCGAGCCCCTGCACTGAGCAAGCAGTGGCTCCATCAGGAGTGGAAACTGGTCCTGGAGTCACTAGGAACACCCCTCTTCTGTGCCACACACTGCTGTTTGCAATGCTGCTCTTTCATTGTGGGTGCTGCCACCGCCAGAGGCACCAGGTGGTGAAGAAGGCTGCTCCACAGGAGTGGCTCCTGGCAGGACTGCTCACAGTGCCCCCTTCCTGCAGATGCAGCCAGAGCTCCAAGAGTGGCCATAGTCTTCGCCTTGCCTGGCTCACTTTGCAGGCCCGGGTCACACAGATGCTGGAGAGATGGATTCCAACAGGGGTCAGCCAAATCCTACTTTAGATACCAAAGTTGTGGAACATTTTCAGCTCCCGCTCTACACGGTTCACACTGAGTCTCTTCTCCTGGTCTCAGAAAGCAACTGTCTCATTTGTGGACCAGCCTGGTGCCTCTTCCCAGTGCCACTTGACCCCAGCACCCCTACTTACTGACGAAAAATATGGTGCCGGCCAGAACGAGTACAGAAGCCACAACCCCAAGGATGACTCCGACCAGGTTCACTGGTGAGTCTGAAATGGGAAAGAGAACAAGAGGGACACACAGAATGTTTTCTTTCGTTGTTTCATTTCACGTTCTGTCCATGCAGAAGAGGAGAAGGAGCCAGGCTTCCCTGTAGCTGGCCAACTTCAACCAACCAGCTAACTAACTGAATACAGAAGGGATCAGGAAACCAGAGAGGTGCAGGAGGTCACATTGTCAAGGCTGGTCCAATCCTGGCACTGCCTTAGCCTCTGTTTAAGGTGATCTGTACATTAATTTACGAGGCACTCAAACCTGGGGGGTTTGCAAGTGTCTGCAAGCTGAGGGAGGTGGGTTTTTTGAGGAACTTGGCTATACATCTGTGGGACGAGGGGCTTTTGCAGGATGATTTATGGAACTCAAAGCCAAGACCGTTCACTGCTGCCCCTGCAGAGAGATGTGGGAGCCTACCAATGGGAAGTAGAGTCCAATTCTACCCAGGGATAGGCTACTTATTCTGAGCTGAGAAGCACCCACAGATTCCTCTTGGCTCCTGGGTCCTGCGAGGCCCCCGCTTGAATCGCTTCTCCTTCACTTCCCAGGTTCCACCCCAAGCACACCCAGGACCCAGCTGCCTCCAGCCCCCCAGTCTCTCACTCAGCTTCTGCCAGGATGTGACGAGCGGCTCCGTAAGGCTGGCATGTTGCACATGGCATTGGTAGCTGCCCCCGTCCTTGGGGTCAACGTTGATGCTGATGCAAGTGTAGAAGGTCCCATCTGAGTTGGGACTGACAACCCCACTGAAGTTCTGCTCCAAGAATTTTCCATCCTTCCTCCAGGTGGCATCGATCTCCTTGGGGTAGAAGCCATGGGCATGACAGGTGAGGGTCTTTAGGCCATCCTCATGCCTCTTAAAAGATATCTTCACTGCTGGGGACACTGTAGAAAGGACAGCAGTGGCTTTTAGATGGAGAAGAAGCAACATTAGCAGTAGAACTTGGGAGTTCATCAGGGAATGAACCAGAGGTTCTTTCTAAAATCCTCCCCCATCCCCATGATAGTTTCTATTAAAGGTATATACTATTGTCAAGCAGCCCATTCTGTTCCTGGGCTCACATGTCAGGACAAACAATTGTCTGGTGTTGTTGTTTTACCAGGGCTGGTTTGTTGTGTTGTCTGGACCCAGCCTTGTTATATCACCATGGCTTGTTTCACACCAAAAAACCATCGTCAGAAACACAAGTCTGCTATATATCTTCTGCTTCTCATGATTGTCTATCGTGACATCTGAACAATAAGATCCATTTTCCATTTTCCATGAACAATACCATAGAGTTGCAAGAAAAGCATGGCATCAAAAACGGGCTGTTCCACACATCTGAACTCAACTCTACTACCCATGGCTTCCTAGCAACCTACCCATCATCCTTTGCTTTGTTCTTGTGGTCTGAGTGCTGCGTCAATCACCCTGCTTATTTTCTAAAACAGGAAGGATGTGAGCAAATTCACTGAGGGAGAAGGGGCAGAATCCCTTCAAATGTGTTTTTTTAATGCAAAAGTGAAAAAAATCCTGTTCCTTTTTTGTCACCTTTGTTAGAAATCATTACACATTGATGTGCATGGCACGTACTGATGTTGTCTAGATATAAATATTCTTTGTCTTCCAAGTGACAAATTAGGGTGATCTCTGATAAGAGGTTGCCCTGAGCTTCCTTTTGGGTTTAGGAACATTTAAATATTCTGCCCTTATTCCTTTCACCACTTCAGCTCTCTTTCAAAATGTTGCATGAATAGGGGACCAGGAACAGGCAAGCAACTTCAGCATCACTGTGGGTAACATTTGTGTAGACACAAACCACTATTTCCCAATCCCAGTTGTGATTTTCACCTTTCTGCAACGCTTCTTCCTTGTATTTCAGGAGTTTCTGCAACCACGGAAAGCAGTTGCTTTCTAGTCTGGCCTTCTTAGCCTGGGAATATGCCGTGTCCACCTCCCACTCCTTCTTGATCACTTCAGCAGCCTCATAGGCCACTATCCAGGTGAGGGTCTTTAAGTCCAAGCTGAGGAAATCCCTCCCGTTGTAGCCATACCGGGCAAAGGCTCTGCTGCTCCCATTCTCGCCCTGTCCACAGCCAGAACTCTCCTGCCAGATGAGAAAGCCTGAAAGGTAGGCAAAACGGCAAAAGGTCAGGCAGACCCACATAGAGGGACCAACACTCATGGACAGCTTGTTCCTAATTCCTTTGTTCCTAATCTGCTCCTTGACAGAATCTGCATTTCTGCAAATACGAGTGCATTCCAACACATCAAGCATGTTCACATCTGCCCAAGTTCATGCCCAGCAAAGGGTGCAAATCTCACCAAAATCACCCTTGAAGAATATATCTTTTCATACTTTAGCCTTTGGGGGAAATACAATTTTGGCCAATGTTTTTATTATAATTCTGTGACTAAATTGGTGTACAATTGCGGAAAATTGCATCCCATGAGTACAAAACTATTGTGATAAAGCGACAGTGCTGGGAAGGCCAGTTGATCACCAAAGAGAAGGGTGGAACTAATTGGCATCAAGAGTGATGGCACAGAAGTCCTTCATGGCCACAAAGAAGATGCCCGTGTAGAATTTGCTAGCCTTGTGGAAGTAGGACCAGAAGGTCCTGATGTGTGACCCAAGATCAACTCACTGTGGGTGTCTGCTGGGTGCTTTATTGAATGATTATTGAATAACAGTGGATGTTTCTGGCACAGATGTGGCTGGACTATGTTTCTGCAGCATGTGGACATTGTCTGGAGCTGCTTCATCAGATCGAACATCGTGGTATCTGCTCCAAATAACCCTCTGAGCCCTTGGTGAGAGATGATCTTAGTGTAGTGTGAAAGTGGGCCAGAGTGAGGGAAGCTGAGTTGGGGCATCCAAAGGAACCCCATCCCCAAAACCTGATGCCTCACACATTGGTACAAATGTGAACTTCAATGAATCCCTCTCCCAATAGCCAAGTATCAGAGAACCATAGCATAGGAGGCTCAGAAGGGGCAAGACAGCCATTGGGTACCACCTGTGTTCATTGCAGCACTCCAAGGTGAACCATCCCTCTCTGGTGGCAGTCCAGCTGCACCTTAAATGCCTCCAGTGTGGGAAAGCCCACAGCTTTCCTAGATTGTTGGTTCCATTGTCATCCTGCTCTAACAGTCAGAAAACATTTCTTGCTATCTAGCCAGAACCTGGCTTCCTGTTCTTGAGCCCATTATTCCATGCCATGCACTCTGGGCTGATGGAGAAGAGATCCTGGCCTTCCTCTTTGTGGCAGTCTTTCAAGTACTTGCAGGGGGCTATCCTATCCCCCTTCGGTCTTCCCTTCTTCAGGCTAAAGATGTCCAATTATTTCAATCCCTCCTCGCAGGGCTTTGTTCCCAGTCCCCTGAACATCCTTGTTGCCCTCCTCTGAACCCTTTCCAAACTCTGGTGCCCAGAACTAGACACAGGACTCCAGATGAGACCAAACCAGTGCTGAACCAAGGGCAACTAGTACAGGATTTGGAAGTGATCCTTCTATTAATGTGGCCACATCTCATTGCTGACTCATATTCCTCTTGTGATCTACAGTAATTCCAAGATCCTTCTCCCTTGCAGTCAATTGCCATGGCACTTATCAATGCAAATTGACTTCCCTAAGACATTCTGTAGGGGACAGGATAGAAAGTTTTAAATAAATAAATGACATATTTGGGGTACATGTTTAGCTACACTTGGCTTTTGCTGTCTTTAGAATCAAGAATCCAAATACGGCATGGTCCCTTTTCCCCAGAGTTCCTGTAACTGTGACTTTGTCCATTTAAGTCTTCCCTTTCTGGTTGGAATGAAGCCAAGGATAGCTTTTCCTTCTTCTACTTTCTGTTGGAGGACATTTTTGGCACAGCATTTTAGGAATCTCTTGGGGGGACCGTGTTTGTGAGAATTTGTCTCCCAACAGATATTGAGGGAATGGAAGTCCCCCATAACCACAACAACAGGACCTCCAGGAAAGAAACAAACATTGCACAGAGATGGCAGGTCAGGGGAGTCTTCTCAATCCTGATTCTTCACTGCCCTTTTGATTACTACCTTGCTGGTCATGGTGTAACAACCAGAGCTTTTTCCTGCCTTCCCTGAAGGAAGGCCTCTGACTCTATGATTGTGGGATACAAGGAAGAAAAAGAGAAAGGGTGAAAAGGAGAAATGTCAGGGGCCTTCCCCTTGACCTCCCCTGCTGAATTCTGCTGCCAAATTCCTCTTAGCACCCCAGGGAGTTTTGTTGCTTGTCTAGAATATTTTATAGACCAACTGATGGCTCAGCTGGGAGTCGAGACCCAGAATGGGGCACCTTAAGGCAACCACATTTATGATGGTGCAGGCAAGGGACTTGGGATGTATTTGGGGCCAAACCAAGAGATCCTTGTGAATTGTATTCAATCAGCTACCCCCTGTTACCTGGCCAGGGACTCAGGAGCACGCATTTCACCCCCCAGGTTCTTAGAAGAAAGAACAGGGTCTGGGCATCGCATCCAGGGCCCCATTCCTAGAATGTTGAGGAGGGGAACACTAACAACTACACACACATGCACACACAATGGCGGCCTCTCCCCATCTTATTGAGGGCGCCTAGAAGAATCCCTCCCTCTTTCACCTTCTACTCATGGTCACTCTGGATGATGTGTTTCCTCAGCAACAAGTCCCCTCTGAACTTCTTCTCAATGCCTGTTGCCCTCTCGGTGTTCCACTCCCAAAAGGTAGGGTCGTCCTCCTCTGCCTTTTTTATCCAGGGGCCCCTTGGCAAGACCCTCTGGGTGATGCTTTCATACTGGCCCCAGGGCTCGTTATCTATATATCCAGAAATCTGGAATGTGGGAATCCCTTGGCCAAAGTCCCAGATGACCTGGTGGAAGTTCAGGGAATGTGAAGCAAAGCCTGGAAGGGAAAAGAGGTGGGCAAAGGTAAGATGGGAAAAGCATCTCCAAGGACCCTACTGTGATTCTTCCGCTCCCCTATGGAGGAAGAGATTCCTTTGCCCCATCATTCAACAGGCCAACACCCAAAAGTTCCAATTAAATTCTGCAAATATGTCCTGATCACTCTAGACCATGAAAAAGTCCTAACAGCTTTGGGAGCTTGTTAAGTGTGCAAAAAAAATGTTAATTTGACAGCCTTCTGCCCGTTATTTTGCATTTGTTCTTCTCATGCCAAGAAGGAAGAGGGGGCACCAGTTCACTGGTGAGAATCAAGCTGCAAGAGGAGATGGAAAAAGCAGGCCCACCTGCATTTCTGTTCTCTCTGAGCACATTGTGGTTTTGTCTCCCTTCTGTTGCTGCTCTTCAGTTACACAAAAAGAACAATCAAAACATGCACAATGCTGAGAAGGAGCCTCAGAAGAGGCTTCTGATGCCTTGGGCATTTTCGTCACCTTTGCTGAATGTCTGCCTCCATTCCTTGGCCAGTCCCACATCTCTGGGCCCCGGCCCTTCAAAAGTAATGCTTCCCTGACTGCACTTTGCACATGTTCAGCAGCATGCAGCAGGGAACCTCAACATTTTTGCAAAGGAATTGGTTCAGAGCCTGCCTTTGTTTCAGTATCCCCTCCCTGTTGCACACCCGTAGCATGAGAAATCCACACTAAGTTCTCACCGTGGCTGCCCTCAATAGTTCAGAAATCCAGGTTTTTAGTCACACTCCCTGGAGAGTTAATGATCAATGCATGCAAATAATGGCACATCAACCAAGACAGGGGTTTGTGGTCTTTGGAATGCAGGGGATGAGAGAAAGCAAGAGAGAGAGACTAATCTTTTGCTAAATTACCATGCCAGTACACCCGGATAAACTCAGTCATGACTATATCCAGGTTTCAGGAGGAGGTTTGGAACTCTGGGTTATTGACCCAGTGTTGCTAACACTTTTTGTGCTGTATGGTATATGACAACCCAGCAAGGGTGTCATGTATGAAAAGTGGCACTTCACTTTAACAGAAGTGGTGAGCTAGCATGTTTCTTTCCTTCTTGATGTCTGGGTGAAAGGTTCTCCTTTTTCCTCCTCCCCAGCAGAGTCTAGGGTTGAACTGCAAGCTAAGTAGGGAAACTTTCACTGCCATTAAACAATCAGTGCAGAAAAGATTGAGGATTTCAGAGATGGGTAGAAAATACCTTGTTCTGCCACCAGGCTTCCCCACTGAGAAACTACAGAAGGGCAAATCTGGTATACCAAAATTTCTGAGACCGGGTCCCCTTGTTTTTGTAGATCTGGGTCTTGTTGCTTCTCAAAAAGGCTATTGAGAGAAATCTCAAACATTTCCAAGAGAAAGAAAAGGACTGTAGAATAAGGGGACCCCTTTCTGGGAAAGTTCTATGACATGGTTCATACATGGTCAGAAAATATTTTTGGGGAAATTATCGACCTCCAAGATAAAATGTGCTAATTCTTGCGTATGTTGATTAGATGAATTAGTGAACAGGTGAGAAAGGTGCTGGTTGGCTAAAGTTTTCAAGATATTTAACAATAAAGATATATACCCAGGCAAGTATATTTGCCTACAAGAGAGGGGTGTGTCTGATGATCATGATGCCTCGTAACTTCTCGACAAAGTACGGTAGAACAATGAAAATGGTACCACGTGGAAGTGCCTAAATTTATCTTCACTCTGAGACTAAAGATTATTACCTAACTGTAATTTATTGTTCTTTTATTGCAAGGTACATTTTTCTTGGTCAGGTCTACGCATCATACAGTTACATCTGGTGGCTTGTGAAAGTGTCATTGCCTAACATTTCCAAGGAACAGTTGCATGATATTTTCCCTCAGAAGCCAAGATGCCTCGAAACTTTTTAAACAATGCAGAGAAGTTCTGCTATATTTGTGACCAGGTTGCATTTACATCTCAAAAATGCAGTATGACGGCAGTGGTCAAAAAGGCAGACCACCTATAGTTTGGATGCAAAATAGAGGATGGGGACAAGATTTGGGCCCCTCATTATTGGTGCATTACACATGCAACTTATCTGCATCATTGGCTAAACCAGAAAAAATCTATGCCTTTCGCAGATGTTAGAGCTTATCAGTTTTTCATGCATGAAAATGTTACATTAAAAACCAATAAATGAATGGAAAGTTATGTTATTGGTATCAATAAGAAGATAAATGTATAATGATTGGTGTGGCACCATTCTCATTGCTATATCATATTTTGCAGAAAAGTTGTGGAGCATAATTGAACATCCCCCTTGTAAGTTTGAATTATTTTGATGCAATTTTGACCTGAAGCTGCATCTTGGACACTGGAGCCAATTGATACTCAGGACTTAAAGGAGTATTATTAGTGACCCAATTCTGGTAAAATTTAGCTACTTTCATGTCCGAGGCTTTCTCCTTGTAGGCCATTGTATCCTGTATATTCTCCGGACTGCCTCTGTGTTTTTCTCCTCTGCTTTGCTTTTAAAGTTTCTCCCCGTCCACCCCCTGAAGCTCTCCTGGCGATCACGAGGCCTTGGGATTTCATGACATGTCAAGAAGCACCAAGGAAAGTACCTGGATAACACTGTGCAGTTGTATTTTGAAAAACATCGTGAATGCTTCAGAAACAAAAAAATAAAAAATAAAGCACAGGCCTGCCAAGAAAGCAAAAGGATGCACAGGCTGCTGGTGAAGGGCAGGAAATAGCTCATTATTCACTGTGCACTTATTGTATTCAAACTGCTGGTGGGGGGAGAGGGGGTTCTGGTGGTTTTGCAATAATATGCAAACAAATTCCTTCAACATGTCATGTACCTTGATGTGGGGGGGCTGCTCAAAGAGCAAAATGTCTCAGATGAAAATTTCTTCCAATCGAAAGTCAAAAGCAAAGCTTAGGGAACCAAGATTGAGAGTGGATGACAGGAAGTACTTCCTGACAGTTAGGACACCCAAGAGTACAGAATGGTCTTCCACAGGAGGTGGTTGAGGCCCCATCTGTGAGGGTGTTCAAGGATAGGCTAGACATGCACATGGTAGACATGTCATGAGCAGAGCCGACTGGAGCCAGGGGTCAGACTAGATGGTCCAGGAGGCCCCTTCTGACTCACTCTGTTTCTATGTTTCTGTGTTTCAAACCAAAGGCAGCTTCCATCCCCACCTTGCCTCATTTTTCCATTCCTGACCTGTGCTGCCCAGTTTGCACTGCCACGAGAGAATCAAGCAAGGAGAAACATACATGTTTCGGCGTGCCTGATACAGAAATGTGCCACATGCACCCCGCTCTAATTAAGCTGGGCACCAATGTAGATTCCTTGGCATTAGGGGTGCTGAGCTTCTCCCCCGCTCCGGTACTCACCACAGGATTCCCCCAGTAGCAGAAGAATGGAGGTCCACAGAGGCCAGGAGCGACCCCAGAGCATGCAACCAGCTCTCATAGTGTTTTGCAAGCAGTCCGTTTCTGTAGTTAAACTCTTGTTGGGATTCTCGGCAAGCTGCCAAATGGGGCTGGGGCAAGTGAGAGAGACATGAAGAAGAGGAAGTGCCCGAGGGGCATGGATTGGCTAAGAGGAAACCCCGGTCTACCAATAGGAAACTGCATTTTGGCAGTTGCTGGGTTGCTATCTCCACCCTGACTTGGGGAGAACAAGCATGGACAGGATTCTGGGTTGAGAATACTAACCCTAACCCCAACCCTAACCCTACCCCTTTGGAATCCAGGTGGCAGCTGAATTATTCCAGCAAGGCTGAAAATTTCTCTATGATACATCTGACAACTTCCCAGGGAACAAGGGTGACAAGGGTCCTTCTTGTCCTCACTGCCCATTTCAGATACATCTCTCACAGTCTAGAGGCAAGGTTGACCCAAGATCTTTGGATGCCTGAAATGGAGTGACAGATCCACACCCCACCCCCATCAAGATGCTTGGTGCCAAGGCCCCTGTAGTTGTTTTAGCATCTGGGCAGAAAATCCCTTGAGCTCCATCCCCCTAATAGAAGGACAGGCCACTCAAATGAAGGATCAGCATGGCTTCTGCACTGGGAAGACCTGCCTCACTACTCTTGCATGGTGTCTGAGAGAGGTTGCAAGCATATGGATTGGGGAGATCTGCAAATATGAAGCACTTGCCAGAGATGGTACACATTAACTCACATATACGCAAACCATATACAGCTTTACTCATTATCTTATGACCTGGCCACTGGTGGCCATGGACATGGAGGTGCACAAAGCAATGAGTACACCTGGGCATCAAAAAAAAAAAAAAATGGGAAAGGGAAAATTGACTTGCCATGTTTTTATTGCTTATTGAATTAGTAATCTATCAAAGGGGCTATTGCAATTGCCATTCCTGCCACTTGTTTTCTCCTGTAGGCTAACTTCATTTTGCAAAGTACAAATTATTATTTTCCTTAATGGAGAATGCTCCCAGAGGGTAACTGGGGGTACTCTCAGTGGGACTCTCAGTGAGGCTGAGAGACAGTGGGATAGTTCCAGGACATACCAGTCCATCATGGAATAATGAATCGAGACCCAGTGTAGCATAGTGGTTAAGAGCATGGGACTGGGACTCAGATGATCTGGGTTCTAGATCCCGCTTGGCCATGGAGCCAGCTGAGTGACTTTGGGTAAGTCACAGACTCTCAGCCCAACCTACCTCACAGGGTTGTTGTTGTGGGGATAAGATGGATGAGGAGAATGATGTAAGCTGCCTTGAGCCCTTTGTAGGAAAAGGCAGGATATAAATCGAAAAACTAAATAAATAAATAAATAATCCTGGAAGAGCCAATCATATGTCCTCCATCATTGTGAATATTCAACCTTGGAGCTGGTGTGCCTCTAGCTTGGTATCTTGTCCCTACTGGGCTCCAGGGTTAAACAACCCTCAGAGAACCCTTGAGTATAGTAGGTTATGTGACTGCTATTTAACCATCCAATCATCCTTCCTCACCAGGTAGGAAGCTACCACAAACCACAAAAACTCCCATGTTGAGAGGGGCAGATGGCACCTTGCTGGGAAGGCCTTATCATTGTGGACCTTTGTCAAGTCTGAAATAGGCAACTGACTGACCCAAGGTCTTTCAGTGTTCCACAAGGTTGAGTGGAGAGTAGAACATGGGTTCCTCCAGTCTTACTCTGATGACACCTGGGCCAAGAATGTTGTGAGATACAGTCCCTGGGTCACGACCTTTTTTCCCCTGCAGTGGAGGGCAGGGCGTGTTCCAGTGGGGCAAAGCTCAGGGAACCAAGTTCGGGGTGGATGCCAGGAAGGACTTCCTGATGGTTAGGACCCCGAGGGTATGGAATGGGCTTCCACAGGAGGTCGTTGAGGCCCCATGGGTGAGAGTGTTCAAGGATAGGCTGGACATGCACATGGTAGGCATGTCGTGAGCGAAGCCGGCTGGAGCTGGGGGTCAGACTAGATGGCCCAGGAGGCCCCTTCTGACTTGCTCTGTTTCTATGTTTCCATCACATCCAGAGGGCAACAGCTTGGGGAAGACTGCTCTACTGTTGTGGCCCACAATTGGCAGTGCTCTTGGGGCCAGGATGGACAAAGAGCTCTTGGGAGCAGGATGGTGAAACTTTCAGCCCAGGATGTCGCCACTGTGCAAATAACCAATCCCATTGTAGGGCTTCTTAGGAAAGGCATGAAAGTGATCCTGTTGTGTCCATCTATGCTGCAACAATGCAGGCAGGACTGTGTACAGATTTGGCTGCCAAAAATGTGGGGCAGCAGCTCATCTGGCTGCAGGCTTTTCAGGATGCATCTCTATCGAAGGCTTCCTTGATTCTCAGGGCAGAGTGAAGGAACACCGGTGGTGACCTTGTCCTTTCTGCTCTGCATTTCAGCCCAACAGCCAAAGGGGGGCAGCTTCCCCTCCCCCCTAGGTCCCCTTTCCTCCCTCTCCAAGGCTGACTTCCTGGTGCAGTTCTTGCACAGCGGCTGTGAGAAGGAGAAAGGATCGGAGTGCAGATCCCCAGTGCTAACTGTTTCCAGTTATGCCAGTCCTTCTGTGGTTAGCCCAGAGGAACTTTCTGGCCTGACTCAGCTAGACTTTCCAGGGCAAAAACAGGAAAGGCCTTAGTGTTGTAAGACTGTTTGAGGTGGAAAGGATTAAAAATTTGGGAGAGTCCATAAGTCTTTAAGATTGCAACATATTTCACTTCATTCTGTATTGTTGCATTTTACTCTGGACTGCTGCGATGCTTCTATCTTGATGCAACTACAATTGAAATAGCTATTGTGGTTGTGTTGATTTTAACTTGAGTGTTTTGATTACTTTTCTTACCTTGTTAACAGCCCAGAAAGTCTCAGCTATTGGACAGTATAAAAATGAAATGAGCCAATGAAGGAACCAATGCAAGACAAAAGTGAAGGATTCTGGCCCCAGATCCTCTGATCTCCTATGGCAAACAAAGACATCAACCAGGTTCATACTGCAGGGCAAACCACAGTGGGTAGTGCCATGCAAACCAAGGTTGCTTTCCAGAGTGTGGTTTGCTCTGGGCCAGACATAGCTAGTTCTAGGGTTTGTTGGCACCATGATGGGTTGCTGCATCTTCTGATATTAGGGAACAGAACTCACTGTGGGCCTCCATGAGCTGTGATGAAGTTGCTTACTGGTGGCAGCCACACCTGCATAGTCAGAAGAACCAATTCAGAGTTCTCACCAGTAGCCACTGGCTCCAATCCAGACTGCTCTTATCATCTCTGTTGCTGGGACTGAGAAAGACAGTTGTTCTTGGCACACATTCTCAAGGTCTGCTAGCTGGACTGCAGAGGAGGAGGAGAGCTCAGAACGTGGGCCAGCTCTAGCCACTGAGATGAGACAAGCAGAGATGCTTATCTCAAGGACAGACTCCTCCGTAGGCTGAGAATCACCAGGATGGATAGTTAGCAGGAGGGGGCTGGAATGGGGAATTTCAGATGAGGTGGATATGACTCTCGACCCCTCGATGTGGCATTCAGAGAGGAAGGTGACCTAATTCGAGGGTCGGTGTGCAGAAAGGAGGCTAGTTCATTTTCCAAATGGTCCCTCTCAAAAGGATGGGGCCCAAACAGACTCATAAGCAGGGACACTTCCAGCACTTGAAATGAGGTCTACTTCTTGATCATTCCTCAAACCTGTTGAAAAGCAGGAATTCTGTGATTGCTGGAATTGTTCGTTGTTTTGCATTGTCTTGTTTATATGAACTATTATAAACTTTCCAAAGAGTTTGGCTATTGGGCAGTATAGAAATGACAGAAATGAAATAAATTAAAGAAATGACCTTAATTGAAGTTGCTGCCACATTTTTACTGCAAGCATGACCAATCCAGCTCTCCCTGTGTCGGCAGAAGGGTGGGAGAAAGCCAATGACAGGATGGGCTAAGCTTCCCCTGGTGGCTCATCATGTCATGACAACCTTCTAGCTTTTACCACTCCAGTCAAATTATTTGGGGAGAAAGCACACAAGGGCTCATCTTGGATGCATGAAAGGTTGGATGAGATGAATAGAGAGTGAGAAGGAAGACTCACATGGGGAAAGAGCCCCTGCAGGGGCAAATGTAGTTGTCTAGGTTGAGTGGGCTGCTCTTGTCTTCAGGGTTTCTTCTCTATTATTCCCAAGAAGATGCTGAGTTTCCTTCCACAGATGTTTTCATGAATCGTCTATCCCACTTCCTGCCATATCTATATTTTACCCTTTGAGTCCCGAAGTGGACAACCTTTGATAGCAACTCAGCATTGGAGACAGGTTGGAGGCTGTACAGTAATAATCAGATGATGATGAAGAAGAAGAAGAAGAAGAAGAAGAAGAAACAAGGAAAGGGTTGCCAGATGCACTTCTGCTGAACTCCAGGAAGACACACATCTTCAGAAAGGAATGGCTCATTTATGGTGAAGAGAGAGGCTCAGATAATCCATGTGCACAAAAGATTTTGCAACACTGAGCATTACAGTAAAACAAGCAAGAATTTAGCACACACACTGACTCTGAAGAAAACAACTTGGTAGACCAGACTGAGATAACAGCAACTCACTGCAGGTCCAGCAATTTCTAGAAGGATGGCTTGGAAGGATGGCTTGTCCAAAAACAAGCCACACTGCAGGAAATGGCCTGGCTTTGCATGACATAAAGCCAGAGTGTGCTGAAAGCAATATCCCCATGTCTGGCTGAAAAAACAAACAAATTGAGAGTGCGCCATCTGCATGTGTTGGGCCAATGACTTGTTGGGACAGCCCCATGGTCATTATGGAGAACATGAAGTCCTGATGTGTCCCAGCAAGTTCACCCACGGCATGGGTGATGACATCCCCCAGGACAACAGCCTGGGGGACCTCAACACTGGAGCCAAGACATCTCTGTCAGCTCAGGAAGGAAGACTGCAGGGTCAGGGGATGGACAGACGGGCCAGCACAAGATGCAAACACTCTAGACTGGGTGTCAGAAGGAGCAGAAGCCCGGAAGGGTTGGAGACAATTCTCACAGACCACAGCAATCCCTTCCAGTCCTCCTGTCTATCTTGAAGCTGTACCAGTGGGCCGAGCTGGGAGAGACTAACTCCTCCCTGTTCTCTCATCCAGGTCTCAGTTATAGACCCAGATCAATTGCCATATCTCCTATTAATTCATGGACAAAAGGGGACCTATGGTGCATCAGTCTGACATTTCAATGCAGCATCTGGAGACTCCAGGGCAGGCTAAGAGGGCAACCACCAAACCTGCGGCTGTGAGGAGGGCTGGAGTACAGCCCAGCTGTTGTTCAGTCCCTGGGTCATGCTTCCCTTACCACCCAATGCTGTATCTCCCCGTCCCTGTCACTACACAAATTGACCTGCCATCAGGAGCCCCTGCTCCCATCACTCCTTGCACTGCACATACACAGGGCAAACCACAACATCAGCCACGATGTGAGAGGGATGGATCCTGCTCTTGCATCCCTCTCAACACAGCTCACCCCAGAGGGGCAAACTTCCTAGGTGTCCCCCCTTTGAATCATCACCCCATTCCAGGCTGGCAAAGGTAGGTGTGCTGGGAATCCATTCCAAGGGGAAAAGTTTGCAGGGGGAGTTTATCTCCTCTTTGCAGGACTGGCACCCCCAGGACTTCTCTCAACAGAGCCTCAGTCCAACCAGCCACAGGACCAGAGAGGTTGACAAGCCAGCAAGGACGCTGGCCGGAGAGACTAAGCTAGGTGGGCAAAGGGTGGCAAGACAGCAAAGCCGGCATTCTCCCCTTCCCTGGGAGTCCCGGTCTGCTTGCTTCATTGCAGAACGTAGTGGCAGAGGTCTTCATTTCTGTCCCATGTGGCGAGTTCGTTGGATTTTCCAACTCTAATTCCTTTATATGGAAAACCACTTGGAGTCTCCAAAATTCTTAACTAATTTTCCTGCATTTATCAAGGAAGCTGATGAATCCCCCCACCCCCACCCCCACCACCTGCTTCAGAAAAATCTTACAAAAGTGGGGCCTTTCCTCTTTTTACCCTATAAATAATGTCTGAGTCAGGCCAGAAAGTTCCTCTGGGGAGCCCACAAAGCAGCTGGCACCACTCCCAATATCACGCCTTCTCACGCAACACTTTCAACATGTGAGCAGCTTGGGAATGACTCATTCATTGTAGCCAGAAAATGGAATCAGCCAAAAGGAGTCTGCACTGTGACCGGCTGCATTTATTCAGAGCCAGACCTAAAGAGAGCACAAGGGGGATGGGGTTGGTCCCATCAAATGACACCCCATTTCCAAATCATTTCAAGGGACTCAGACTTGGGGAGCTTAGTCCATCCTGTCATTGGCTTTCTCCCACCCTTCTGCCAATGTAGGGAGAGCTGGATAATTTCTTTAATGTATTTGGTAATTATTATACAGTAATTTCTTTAATTTATTCCATTTCTGTCATTTCTATACTGCCCAATAGCCAAAGCTCTCTGGAAAGTTTATAATGGTTCATATAAATAAGACAACGCAAAACAACAAAAAATTATAGAAATCACAGAATTTCTGCTTTTAACAGGTTTGAGGAATGATCAAGAAGTAGACCTCATTTCAAGTGCTGGAAGTGTTCCTCTTTATGAGTCTGTTTGGGCCACATCCTTTTGAGAGGAGCCTTTTGGAAAATGAGCCTGCCTCCTTTCTGCACACCGACCCTCTAATTAGGTCACCTTCCTCTCTGAATGCCACATCGAGGGGTCGAGAGCCATATCTGCCTCATCTGTCTCTGAGAAATTCCCCTTTCCATGCCCCTTTTGCTAACTGTCCATCCTGGTGATTCTCAGCCTACTGGGGAGTCTGTCCTTGAGATAAGCATCTCTGCTTCTCTCATCTCAGTGGCTAGAGCTGGCTCATTATAAAGAGATCCCTAACTTTCACAGAACTTCATGGGGAGCCGAGACCACACTGTCGGATTCCCACCGCAAAACATCCCTAGACTGAGAAATGCAACTGAATTGTCAGGGAGGGGACAAGAAGTGATCTCCCCCTTTGCTTCCAGGAAGGTTGTCAGGAGTCATTTACCAACCAGAGATCCCTGCTTGAATGACAGGATTCAGGGGAGGTCTGCATTTTGAGCCACTAGCCCAAGTCTTCACCTTCAGTGCAAATTGAAATGCATTTTCTGCCTAGACTAGTTTCTTCCTGTACTGCCACCTGTGTTTAAGATCTTGCACAGAATTTACCAGAAGCTCTTCCCCTGCTGGGCTTCATGCACCGTCCAAACTCTGCACCCTCTTTCCTTCAGTGATGGCTCCTTCTCTCCATGCCAGGGTGCTGGTGACAGTCACTGAGGAACGAGCACAGAAGGATCCCTTCTGCAGAACCTAAACCCGCTTGGCAAGACCTGCCTGGCAACTGCGAGCAAGCTTTTTTCCTATTGGAAGGCGAGTACCCTCTCAGCCAATCCCGCCCCTCAAGAGGTCCCCGCTCTGACTTCCTCTGGTCCCGGTTCTCAGCACCGCTCAGCCAGCCCCGGAGGATCATGCGGAGTGCTCACCCACAGAATCCATGGAGGGAGCCATGCAGGGTGCTCGGCCGCCCAGTGGGTGCCTCCTGGCTCCATGGACAACAGCTCTTCTGCTGCTGGGGCCGTGCTCTGGTGAGTACTGGGAGATGAGCGATTGTAGGGCAGCCCCTGTTCCTGGGGAAGTAAACGTCTGCATGCAACTTAGTGAGGGTGCAGTGCACGCAGTCTGCTTGGACAACAGGGGTGAGAACGTGAATTGCCCCTTTTCAGCTCCTGGCATGGCACAGTTGGAGCTCACACTTAAGGCTGGAGTTGTTTTTGATCAGCTTCATGTCCTGCTTCCTCACCTCCAAGACCTGCAGGGAGGGGAGACTGCCCCCAGCTCAGTTTTCATGAAGAGAGGAGTCACAGAAACTTGCAACCTCTCTTAAAGCAACATACCCAGAATCATTGCAATGCCAGCAGTGCTTATAGATTGCATTGTGGTTTCCGTCAGCTTCACTTCTCACCGAGAACCTCATCCAAGGCTGCCACCTTGTGCTGTAACTCTTCCATCCCCACTCCACAGTGAGAAGGGTATAACCTGGAGAAGAGGAGACTCAGAGGGGATCTTATAGCAAAATACTGTACATGAAAGAGGGTTGTGCCCTGTCCTCCCCTGTGGTGGAGGAAAGGAGGCAGTCCAATGAGGCAAAGCTCAAGAAACCAGGTTTCAAGTTGGATGTCAGGAAGTTCTTCCTGATGGTCAGGACCACTTGGATGTGGAATGGGCTTTCAAGGGAGGTGAGGGAAGCCACATCAGTGAGGGCTTTGAAGGAAATATTGGACAACCACATGTTGGGGTTACATGAACGGTGATGGCTTGTGCCGGAGGCCAGAATAGATGGCCCAGGAGGCCCCTTCTGACTTACTCTATTTCTATGTTTCCAACTGTGGGAATAAGCAAGAGAGTAAAGAAAAGTGAGAGGAAGAAAATGATTCCACCCATTGCTTGATGAATATCCTGGACTGACAGAAAGACAAACAAGAGGGTCCCAATCCAAATCAAGCCAGAATTAGTCATGCACACAAAAATGACAGAACTGAGGCTGCCACACTTTGGACACCACGTGAGAAGGCCGGACTCCCTGGAGAAGACCTTCATGGTTGGGGAAGTCAAAGGCAGAGGAGGAGGATAACGGCCATTGAGATGCATTGACCCAGTCAAGGCAGCCACAGCCTTGAGTTTGCAGAGTGGAGCAGGGCTGTCAGGGACAGGGCATTTCAGAGCGCATGCAGAGTGCTTCCAGAGGGCGGGGGTGACTTGGTGGCACACACAACAGCAGCAACACCCACCGGTCCTTTGATCACAGACCCACCCATCTCCTGGGACACAGATATAGTAACGATACAATTTCAATATCAAATACAATCCAATATCCATGCATTGGCAGAGTAATATCTGAAGACAGAGAGTCTGTGTGTGTGCATTTGTAGGCATCTGCATGCATGCGTGCACACGCACATGTGCACACTCACACTATATATATAGTTTGTTCACCCATGGCCAAAAGTAGCCAACATATAAGAGCTGACCAAGAAATTAACTAGGGATTTCCTACTCCAACTCCTGGCTGCATTCACATGGAGCAGCAGCTGCAAACCATGGGTCATTTAATCCAAGATTTACCATGGCTCATGCTGCCATAATTTTTTACCTGCAGTTGGCTGGATGAGAGGGTGCTTCATGATATCTGTGCTGTTAACCTAACAACTAATGAGAGAACCAGAGTGGTGTCGTGGTTAAGAGTGTGGGACTGGGGCTCAGGCCACCTGGGTTCTGGTCCATGCTCAGTCATGGAGCTCACTGGCTGACTGTGGGCCAGCCACAGACTTCTTTTAAGAAGAACATCCTCTGTGTCATGCTGTGGCTCAGCATCAAGCCTAAGTAGCAGCTCGCTGGGTATCCAAAGTTTCTTTCTGTTTCTGTCTGACAGGGCTCCTGGGCCATCCTCATTCATAGACATATATTACACACTTGCTAAATGCACTGGAGCTCTTCAAGAAAGAAAGTTGGCATCCCCAAGAAACCATTTTTTCTATTCAGTTTGCCTTCCTGCCATTGTGCAATGACTGGAAAATCCTGGCCTAGGAGGAAGGAAGCAATTGAACCAACGTGAGGGACTTGCCCAACCTCTTGTGGGCTGTGACTTCCGCCACCCCTGACATGTTTACTTCATATACAAGTGAAGAGCAACAGAAGCCACAAGGAGAAACCACATGCTCTCACCAGCATGCAGAGGCCCTCGCAAAATCTGAAAAATAAGGCCGGAAAGAAGAGATCTTGCCCTCCTTACCCAATTCTTGGGTGCCACCACACTTGGGACGTTGGGTCCAATTCTGGTCACCTGACCTGAGAAAGGATATTGTTGAGTAGGGAAAAGTGCAGAAAAGGGCTGGAGCGGCTTCCTTGTGAGGAGCAGCTGTAACAACTGGGACTACCTGGCTTGGAAAAATGGAGAGGAAGGGGAGACATGAGAGAGGCGTAAAATAACACCTGGTGTAGCGAGAGTAGAGAGGGAAACATTTTTCTCCCTCCCCCATAACAGTTGGACCTGGTTCATCCCATAAAGCTGATGAATGGGAGGTTCAGAGCAGATCAAAGTGCTTCTTCACACAGTTAAATTATGGAATTTGCTGCCATGGGAAGTGGTGAAGGCCACCAATCTGGATAGCTTTCAAAGGGAATTGGACAGATTTCTGGAGGTGAAAGCCATTCATGGCTACTAGTCTTACTGGCCATGCATTTCCTCCTTCATCAAAAGTGGCCTCCCTGCACACACCTGTTGCTGAGGAGTTTTGCAGGGGGAGTTCTGGTACCCATCCTGCTGGAGGGATCCTGAGGGCAGCTGCTTTGCCTGCATGTGTACAGAGTGCCTGGCTAGATAGACCTTTGGTCTGATCCAGCAGGGATTTTCTTAGATTCTTCTAAAAGAGGAAGTGGTCTATTCATGTCCCTTCTTAATCATATTGTGGCAACCACTGCTGAGAGAGAACCCTCTTTGTTGCTGTAAGCACAATACATACACAGTAACTGGTAGAAGATTGACAAATTCAAGCTGCAACAACCCAGATTCGGGCTGGACACCAGGAAAAACTTCCTCACTGCTAGAGCGATACGACAGAGGAACCAGCTGCCTGGAGAGGTGGTGGGTTCTCCCACAATGGAGATATTCAAAAAGAGACTGGACAGCCATCTGTGTGGGCTGGTGTAAACTGGTGTCCTGCAACAGCTGGTGGTTGGACACAATGGCCTTCATGGCCCCTTCCAACTCTATCATTCTATGAAATTACTACTGTCATATTTGCTGAATTAACGTGCACATAAGACTTCTAGGATTATGTTGGAGAGCTGCTGCTGCTGTTGGTGGTTGTTATCCCACATCAAGTCATCTCTGACTCATGATGTCCCAGTGAATGAAAGCCCTCCACAATGTCCTATCCATGACAGCCCTGCTGAGCTCTTGTACATTTAAGGCTGCAACTTCCTTTATGGAATCAATCCAGCCTAAAGTTGGGGGAATGGGCAACCCAGGCCATATTTGCAGAGTTCAGCTGAAGTTCTGTGGTGCATATCTGTTACCAAGGAGTCTCTTCCTGCCTTCTTGGAGGGGGAATGACCATGGTGTGGAGATACAGTTTTCACTGGTGTTTTGGGGTGTTTCTGGCTGCAGCCCTTCATCTGCACCCCCTTCTCTTTCCTCACAGGCCTCTCGTCACACACTTGGCAATGCAATCAGGTGATGTGGGACTCAGGCCAAGGGATGCCCACATTCTTGTACCTGCAGACCTTCGATGACCAGATTTGGGGTCATTATGACAGCAGCACAAGGAGGGTCTTGCCGCGGGTCTCCTGGATAAAGAAGGCCGAGGAGGAGGACCCCTCCTTCTGGGACTGGAACCGCGAGAGGGCATCGAGTGCGGAGGTGAAGCTGAGAGGTGACCTGCTGCTGCTGAAGAAGCACCTCAACCAGAGTGAGGGTGAGCAGACGGCAAGGTGGTGGGAATCCATGTTGGGTGTACAATCCATGTTGTATTCATGCACTTATTGAAATTGGCTCATTCTGAAGTGCACTGCTGCTTGTTTTTCAAATGCATTTATTTTAGACATCAATTCATAGAAGAGCAAAGTTGGAAGGGGTCAAGAAGTCCATCAGGTCCAACCCCCTGCTGGTGCAGGTCACCAGTTCATGCCATCCCACTCAGATGGCTGTCCAGTTTTGCCTTTGATATCTCCAGTGTGGGAGATCCCACAACCTCTCTAGGCAGCTGGTTCCACTGTCGTATTGCTCAGACAGCGAGGAAGCTCTTCCTGATGACCAGCCTGAATCTGTGTTGTCGCAACTTGATTTGATTATTCCATGTCCTACTCTCTGGTATCAGCAAGACCTTCCTCTTTGTGACAGTCTTTGAGGTACTTCTAGAGGGTTCTCATGTTCTCCTCAGTCTTCTCAATCCTTCATGGAGTCCATCCATCTCATATTTGATCTGCCTCTTCCTCCAAAGGTGTACGGGCAGTCCATGAGTCACAAATATCCAATTTATGAACAACCCATCCTGTACCTATTAATGAACTGCCATTCAGCCTATTAATTTTAAAAAGTTAATGCAGAAAATTGTCATCACCACAGAAAGAGAGGAAGTAAAGGGGGGAGAGAGGGAGGCCTCCAGAGCATCACTACAGAGACAGAAGTGAAATGTAGAGAGGGAGACCTCCAATGCAGGCTTTCCTGTCCCACCCATCTGTAGAAGAAAATCTCTCCAGCATTTCCTTGCTGCAAAGAGGAGGCACTGATGAGTCTGGGAGGTGAGGGGGGCGGGTAGAGATATCTTTGGAAAAGTATTTTTTCCACTTTCATGGATGACCTGAACCCCTATCCCCTGTGAATGTAGGGGGCCAACTAGACATGCCCCAACTTACATACAGATTTGACTTTAAGATAAATTTCCATTTGTTCAGGAATGAAACTCCTTTGTAATCTGGATCTTGGTGGTAAATAACACTTTGGTAGTATATAACATGCATATACCACTTAATATAGTAAAATCTCCAAGTGATATGCATACAGGGACATAGGAAGCTGCTCTAACCCTTAGAAGCTGCTCCACAGGACCTGGAATAACCTCAAAACACTTATCCGCTGGTGTCAGAAGACCACCCTGCAAGCAATAACAACCACAGAGCAACTGACCCATGGCTGGTGGGGTGGAATGAGGGTCTGCTCTGAGCCCCCAAATTCTTTCTTGCCTGCAGGCATTCTCGTGTGGCAGCGGAGGTGTGGCTGTGAGCTGTACGAAGATGGGCGCAGCCGAGGGATTGACCGCTATGGCTACAATGGGAGGGATTTCCTCAGCCTGGACTTTGAGACCCTCTCCTGGACAGCTGCCTGTGAGGCTGCCAAAGTGATCAAGAAGAGGTGGGATGCTAACTGGGCATATTCCCAGGCTAGTAAGGACAACCTGGAGGAATGCTGCATTCCATGGCTGCAGAAGTTCTTGGGATATGGAAAGGAAGTTCTTCTGAGGAAAGGTGAGGATGAAAGCACACACAAAATCCCACAAGGCTGAAAATGCTTCCTAGTTCCCATTTCCTTACATATGCAACATTCTGAGACCTCAACTACATTTGCACCTTCAGCTCTGTGCATCTGGGCCTGTATAAGCTATTATAACTTGAGCTAAAAGAAGGCTCATATTAAGGGTGTCAGGATGAGTCCTTTGCTCTAGGAAACAGCTTCAGAAACACCTGTGGGTATGGTCTTTTAGAAGGAACCTTCATTTCATTGCCTGTCAGATTTTTCCCAGTCCTTGCCCAAACTTTGCTTCCTATCCCTGGAGACCCGTCTTGTTCTTTCCACAGAGCACCCAACAGTGAAGGTGTCCCGTAAGCTGGGAGAAGATGGCCTAGAGACCCTCATCTGTCATGTCCATGGCTTCTACCCCAGGGAGATCAATGTCACCTGGATGAAGGATGGAGCATTCTGGGAGCAGGAGACCCTCAGTGGGGGTGCTGTCCCCAACTCAGATGGGACCTACCACACTTGGATCAGTGTCAAGACTGACAGCAAGGAAAGAGACCACTATCGGTGCCATGTGGAACATACCAGCCTAGTGGAACCTCTTCAGATGTCCTGGCAGAAGTCCGGTGAGCTACTAGGGGGTTAGAGGAATCTGACTGTTCTGTGTGTGTCAGTGTGTGGGGAAGGCAGAATCTGGTAGGTGAAGGAGAAGGGGCTTCAAGGAAAACTGTACAAGCCCTGGACCCCATAAAAACTGATAAGGAAAGACTGAGAGAATGGGAGAGAATTGGGCATGTTCAGCATTGAGAAGACTGAAGCAGGACATGATATACCTCTGTAAGTACTTCAAAGGCTGTCACAAAGAGGAGGGTCAAGATCTCTTCTTGTTGATACCAGAGTGGAGGACACGGAATAATCAGGTCAAGTTGTGACAACCCAGATTCAGGGTAGACATCAGGAAAAGCTTCCTCGCTGTCAGGGCAATGTGACAGTTGAACCAGCTGCCTAGAGGGATGGTGGGCTCTCCCACACTGGAGACATGCAAAAAGAAACTGGACAGCCCTCTGAGTGGGTGGTGTAACTTGGTGTCCTGCAACAGGAGGGGATTGGGCCTGATGGCCTTCATGGCCCCTTCCAACTCTACTCTTCTAAGATTCTGAGATTCTACAAGTATGTCTCTGGAGGGAATGCACCTGCTTTGATCTGGGAATACGGGAGCAGTTCCATGTCAGATCTCCACTTGGTCTTTTGGCTTTGAGGGAGCTTGTAAGCTTCAGGGCAGGGCAGCAGGTAGCTATGGTCAAGACACCAGGACCAGGCAGGAGCAGGCACAGGAGGGATGCTTGCAGCAGGGTTACAGGGCCAAAGGCATGAGGCATGTCTTGGAACAGTCTAGGGTCAAGAGCCAGTGAGACAAAATATTTCAGGCAAACCCAAGAGAGAAGCCCAACAGTCATGCACCAGGAAGACAACCACATTCAGGAGCAAGGCAAGCTCAGGGAGGACGGCTTCAGGGAGTGGTAGGGTGGGTCAGGCTGGAGACAAGGATGGAGGCAGCAACCAGGGTTCAGGTGAGGTGATGCTGGAAGCCACAGCATGAGGAGCCACTAAGACAGTGCAGCAAAACCCAGTATGCTGCTCTCCAGGCTTCCAGCTGCCCCACATACTGGCCATACAAGCCTTTGCAAAGGTGTTCCTGGTTTCGCAGGCACTTGTAAGGCAAACCAGACTCTGATCCTGACACTCCTGAACCATCGCACAAACCCTTTCTCTCCACAGATACATAGCAAAGGCTTTCCCAAAATCAAATCCCATACCTTGAGTGCCTGATTAGTTAGCTTCAGGAGAGACAAAGTCACTGCCAGGTGTGAAGGAACCTGGGCAAAGTGACTCCTGGGGTCATGGGTTCCCTCCCTCTTCCTGTGTTTCTTTATTTATTTTAATGTGGAGCAGCTGCAGGAATACCATATTCCCCCCCTTTTCTGCTGCTGTTGCACAGGGTAAGCCTGCATTGGCATGAAGGAGGAAAGCATTTGGAGCATCCGTCAATTATCCCATTTCCTTTTTTCCTTTCAGACACCACAGAGTTCCTTGTGGGACTCACCTTCGGGCTTGTAGCTGCCATACTAATGCTGATCAGCTTCGTATTTTACATGAGTAAGTAAGCTATCCAACCTGATCTGTGTCAATCTGGCATGGAAAGGGGGACATGGTTTTGCTAACATGAAACCTAAAACTGCAGATGATCTGGAATGGTTGCATGACCTGAATCAATTTACTGAGGACACCTTTAAAAACAAACAAGTCAACCTGCAAAGCAGATCCCAGCTTTATATTCCAGATCCTAAAAGGAGCTCCAACCTTCCTGAAAGATGATAGTGAAGGTGATTTATTTCTACACCACCCAATATCCATGTTCATTGGGTGGTTTAAAAAAGCAGGTTCACTGTTTGGTTATACTCCTCAATCCAACTTTCTCATGAGAGGCAGAAATGACCTTAGTAGGATGGGGCCTTTAAACCTCACTTCTGGCAGTCTTCAAATATCCTGAGCCCCAAATATACCAATCTCTTGCCAGTATTCAGTCATGTCTTAAGACATGAGGATGATTGTAAGATTTCCATTCCTTTCAGAGCCCTTCAGAACCTTTCCTTCTCACATCTTTGGATGCTTCCCAGAAAAGAGAGGTTATGGAGTAGAGCAGGGGTCCTCAAGCTTTTTAAACCAGTTCACCATCCCTCAAACTGTTGGGGGGCCAGATTATAGTTTGAAAAAATATGAACGAATTCCTATGCACACTGCACATTAAAAATAAATTAAAATGAAAATAAATTAAAAATAAATTAAAATGAAAATAAATTAAAAATAAATTAAAATGAAAATAAATTAAAATTAAAAACTAATTAAAAGATTAAAAAATGTTTGCTCTGCTCCCGCCAAGCCTGGGGGCAGCTGCTTGACTGCAGTGGTGGTGGCTCCCGTATTGATGGCTGCGGCTCCCATGCCTCCGCTTCAACCCCCTTGCCAAGCCTGGGGGCAACCTTCTATGGGCAAGCTGCTGCCACCAAGTGGCTGCCTCTGAGCTTGGTGAGGCAGCCCCAGCTTGGCCTGCAGCCTGGGGACGTGGCTTACATAATTACAAATAGATTTAAAAAGTTATATTTTTCTTACCTTCAATCCTTTTCTAGTGTCTTTGTCTCTCTCTTCTGTCCAACTCTCCTCTGTTTCCCACTCTGTATTCCCACTCTGTATATGCATACAATGGGGGGGCGGGGAGAGCCGGCCCACGAGCAGTTGAGCTTTTACAATTAGGCGCATGCACCAGCTCTCTGCTCAATTTCAAAGAATGCCTGTGCCAGCTCAGAGCTTTTGGACTCACTTGGAGATTGTTTCCTCCAAGCAAGTCCAAAACCTCTGAGGTAGGCCGGATAAATGAGCATGGCAGGCCAGATCCACCCCACAAGCTGTAGTTTGAGGACCCATAGTGTAGAGGAACCAGGGCCCACAGGGATGCAGTGCCAGCAATTTTTCATTAGGTAACCCATTTGCTGATGCCATCTGTCTCTCTTCAAAGAATTCCAGCTGGAAGCACAAGTAGCTGGGTATAATTAAATTTCCTACACCAACATATTTTTGTCCTAATTGCACAGTATTTTGGGGAGGTTCTGCCTTCAATGGGCAATTAAGATCCATTTGTCTTTCTGGAGATGAAAACTTTTACCTTTGTTGACTTGGGTCACAAAACTGCATGTATTTTTGGACTCTCATGCAATGGTGCTATGGCAGCTAAGGGTCTGCCCTAGATTTTGCCAATCTATCCCTGGAAAAGGGCCTGCAGCCAGGGGCTTATGTTGGAACAAGCAGGATGGAGGCTGAGCCTTTGAATTTGATGATTCACTGAAATCCTTGTTTGAGACCTGAACTGTTCCAAAGAACAGGGCCGGAGGCAATATGCAGTGGGTCTACAAATGAGCCAGAGAATCTCCCTCTCCTTTCCCTCTTTCTGGAAGAAATGGGAAAAGGAACACTGAGCAGGGAAGTGCTTTTTGCAGAAGAGGGAGCCCTGGCTGATCTCTGGAGGCTTCTTTCAGCTCCATTTCTCTGGTTCTGACTCCACAGAGAAACATCAGGACGACTTCAAAGCAAAATCAAGTGAGTGACACGCCGTCCCCTTCTTTGCAATGATCTTACAATACGTTCCTGTTTTCTGAGCATAGTGCAACTGTATGTCTGGAAGGAAGGAAGGAAGGAAGGAAGGAAGGAAGGAAGGAAGGAATTCTGCCAACTACTGACAGCCCTTCAAAGGTGCTGCTCGGACTCTTTGAAGGGGCTGCCAGTGACTACCAAAATGGGGATCATCTTTTAAAAAACCAGGGAGGGGGAATGAAAAATAAGCAACAGAGGGCCCAAAAGAGCTTGCAATCACTGTTGAAAGGGAGAAGAAAATTTGGACCCACTGTGGTGTCCCCTAGGACACCCACAGGAGGATCCAGCAGGAGGATGGACATAAGAGGGGGCCAACAACCCACAGAGCATCCTCTCATCTACTTAGGTGCACCACATTCAAATAGCAACAAAACTGTCCTGGATTGTTGCCAAAATGGGATGTTGTGAAAGGCAATTTTTTCCATTGTGCAATACAGGAAAGAAATCTCAAAATTAATTAAGGAGCAAAACAGAAATATTACAATTTTTGAATAATAAGATCCATTGAAATAATTACTTGCATATAGATAGTGCTACTTGTGACATAAAAAAAGCAAAATATACTACAAGAACAACCAGAACAAAAGTACATGACAACAGCAGCAAGAGTGATGATTGCATCAAGGTGGAAAGCTGTAGACTGCCCAGATGATGAAGACTGGAAAAATAAGCTGGCCAAGTACACAACAATGGTGAAGATAACTAATTATGTCAGCAGAAGTCCAGTTAAAGAATTTATTCAAAGATGGGGGACTTACTATGAACAATTTAAATAATGGTGAAAGAAAATATAATTTTTACAAACGTTTGTGATTACTACTTTTCACCAAAGTAATGTTATGATCTATAACTAAATTTATAGACTGGATAAATTTATGACTGAGAATTGAATGGATTGGATGGGGAAATGGTTGATAGAGACTTTTGTTTATTGCAAATGTGTTTCAATGAAGAGTTGCTTGCTAAATTTCTGGTATGACCATTGGCTTCTTTTCTCCTATATGCTCTTTTTTTCTTCCTATTGTACTTTCTGAAAATAAACAGATTTGGAGGGTGGGGGGATGAACAACCAGAACAACATCACATTGTGCATAGACTTTAACAAAGGCAGCCCTTTAGCTGCATATTTGTTTTACTGCCAATTTCAAAATCTGGATTTCCCTGTAAAGTTAATTTTGCACCTGCAATTGATGTGCACATGCAAAATATACACCACAGCTGGAAGGGGCACATTATCCGTTATGGTTTAGTAAGAGCCCAGTGCTATCCACTTGGGAAGATGATCCAGACATGAAGATTCCAAAACTGACCAGGGAGAGAAATCCAACTTGACTTTAACATACTGTGCCTCTTGAAAAGGTTGCATGTTTGGAGAGGTCGCAAACAGACAGATAAGAGTTTCAACCTATCACTTAGAACAATTTGTCACTCTTTTTCAAGAGTATTTTTATGAGAGGCATAAGCAGTAAGTCAGCCCCAGGGGAAATCTTTCCTAGCAACATTTGCAAAGGTTTACATGTAAACATGGCTATTGCTAGAAGCTTGTCCTGGGGAAGGCAAGTCACCCCTGGTCCTTCTGAGTCATGTTTGGGCTAAACCATAACCAAGACTAGCAAGTGTTAGAAGTGCCATTGGACAAATGGTTGGAAACATTCCATGCCGTGGAGCTTACATTTGTTTCATGATTCATCACAATTGGATCAAAGACCACTCAGTGCTCCAGAGATGCCTTCAATGAAGTGAAAAACTTGGATAGGTAGTAGATCTGAAGCTCAAGCAATTGAAAGATGGGTTAGGCATGATCTGGGAGGGAAAGGAACTAGCCAACAGGCTCCTAAGGAGAGTCCAGTGTTGTTTCATAAAAGGACTTGTTGATTGTTAGTTCTTTATTATTCCATAAAATGTAACACTATGTATTTACCTTATGACCACTATGTATATTACTACATAGATTTGAAAATATAAGGTGTGATCTATTACGGCTTGTGAGAGAGAGTTTTCTTTTATACTATAGGTGACCTAGTCCAGAGAACTAGGTGGCCATCTTGGTGAAAGACTATAACTGGTAATGGTCAAGCCAAGACCACTCCACACCCAACTGTGGAGCAGCAATGGTGCCTTCATCCAGACATGTTTATCTTCAGCTGTTCACCTACAGATGGAGCCCAATGTAGAGTTCATGAAGTTGCAGAGATGATGCAATGCCCCCCCCATGATTATCACCATCGTACTGCTTTATTAGTATCATTGTCTCCAAAGCTCAAAGGATCAGTCCCAAGCTCACAGTTGAGTCCACAGACATAAACATCAGACTCAAAGGCAACCTGAAGCAACATCTTGCATCAATGTGCATAAATGCCTCCTGTGCCAGGCAGAGCTTGGGAGGAGGGCTCAGGCAGGTGAGGAGCACAGTCCAAATATGAGGTTTACTTATGAGGATGTGAAGCTCTAGTTGGCTGGGACCCATGTGCATTAGGAAAGCCAGACTTGAAAGGGGGCTTTGCTTCTTCTAGTTGCTCTTCAGATCATTCTGTAGAGAAGCCACAAAGGTGGAGGCTTTATCAGGCATCACCAGAGGCCTTCTGCTACTTCTGCTGCTTCTTCTGCCCCAGTCAGCCTGTGGGATGCGTGAGGCCAAATGTCCCTTGACTCTGAGAAAGGATAAATATGACCCATATAGTTATTATGGGCCAGGAGATCACCTCATTGGTGGGGTCATCTCTGCAACAGACAGCAAGTTTCAACAAAATGACTTCAGAGGGTCTCCCTCGAACAGGATCTACGAGTAAGTCAAAACAGATGTGATGTAATTTCTGGGACTCCCTTTGCTAATTGAATTCACGGGCCCAATAATCCCTAATTACCAGGAACAGTTATAAGATCTTTTTCCCTGGACACTGTAGTTCTATTTTGTCTTTGGGACAAGAGGTTTTGGGATTCACAAACCCAAAAGGACAGAGAAGCTGCGGCTGCCTGGGTTCCAAAAAAATTTTAAATCTGCAAATGGATTAGAGGTCAATGCAGTCTTTCTGCTATCTTGTAAACATGCAGGAAAACATCTTTGCTTTTCTTTCAAAAGAATTGAACTAACATGATGAAGTTGTAGAATAGGGCTTCCCCCTCTACCTGCAGCCACAAATAAGCCAAGCATCATATTAAGACTGTAAATGTTCGCCTCTTTCTTATGAGGAGCGAGCTGTATAGTTTAGCCTGGAGATGAGAAGATTGATGGAGATGTGGTAGCACCTCCAATATCTGAAAGGCTGCCATGTGGAGACTGCTTTCTGTTGCCCTAGAAAGCAAGAGCTTCCCCATAGCCTGAAGTGCCTGATCCTGCCTAATCTTGGAAGCTAAGTGGGGTCACACCTGGTTAGTATTTGGATGGGAGACTTGAGTCCTGCATTGAGCAGTGGTTGGACCTGGTGGTCTTCTAGGCGCCTTCCAACTCTATTATTCTGTTCTGTTCTATATGATGAAAATGGAGCTGTTAACCCAGTCGGTAGTTGTTAAGCATTATTAGGGAAGATGAAAAAAAGCTGCCAGGATTCTACCGTCCACTGATGGTGTAGAGCTGGATGATGTGCAAGCCAAATGATCAAAGAGGTGGAGCAACTTCCATATGAGAAAAAGTTTCACCTTCTGGGCCCAGTTAGTATGGAAGAGGTTATGTAAGCAGAGACTGCCAGAGGTTTAGATAAGTATGTATGGTGTGGAGAACCTGGAGAAGGGCACATTTTTTGTCATCTCTCAAAACACTAGGAGGTCTTTCCATGAAGTTGATGATTGGAAGATTCAGGGTAGATCATGGAGAAGAAGGTTGTCAATGGCTGCGAATACCAAAGGCAGTAGGTTTTCCCCAGTAGCAGAGGCAGTGTGCCTATTTATTTATTTATTTATTTATTTATTTATTTATTTATTTAAAACTTTTATATGCCATCCCCTCATGCCTCGGTATCTCAGGATGGCTGTGGAACATGGGCAAGAGGGTCCTTTTACACTCATGTCCTGAGGGCAGCTGGTCAGCAATGGGATCTTTGCTCTGAACTAGCATGGATTGCATGTTCTTCCATTCTGACCCCAGTGGGCATTATGTGGACCACAAAACTAACAGCAGTACATTTGTAATACATGGCTGGAAATTCTGGGAAAAACTCTGAAAATTATTGATTGAGTGATTTATTACATGTATATACCCTCCAGGGCTCTCTGGGCAGTGCACAATCCAAAATGAATAAAAGCAACCATCAAAGTCATACAATAAAAACCAAACAATGAAAATACAATGTAGTCTATTGGACAACTACAAGAGTCAGTAAAGTTGCCTCGGGCACAATGGTGATAAAACAATCATTAAAATGTCCAGAAATAGCCACTCAGCCATTCTTAAAGTGTCTGGTAAATAAAAACATCATTGCCTGGCACCAGAAAGAAAACCATCTACTTTCCAGGGAAACATATTTCATAATTGGGTACAACCACTGTTTTCTCCTGCTTGCCACCCACCTCACCTCTTTGGAGAGGGACCTCTGCACCCCATCTTAGTGGTCAGGTAGGAACATATAGGTGCAGGCATTCCTTCAGGTTTCCTGGTCCCAAGCCATTTTAGGCTTTATATGTCAAGACAAGCACTTTAAACTGGGCCAGAATTCGACTGGTAGCCAATACAATTGGTAGATTGGTGTAACAGGGTGCAGAACTGAGTCCTTATTAACAAATGCTCTGCCCTATTCTGAACGTTTGGTTCTGCCAATATTTCCTCCTCAGTTTAATGGATTGTGCTTGCCTAATTAAACCGCTGAGAAGGACATCAGCACTTTAAAAGCATATTTTACTTGAGACTTGAGATAGGAAAGGTAGCCATTATATAGCTACCAGAGTTCAACACATACAACCAAAATATCCATGCACACAACTTGTCCTACATTGCTTATCTTAGGTTCTGTGCCTAATTTAGAATAGTTGTTTCTCAACACATACAATTTAAGCTCTGTTACAGCCCCAGATCAATGACTCTTCAATCCTTTGTCTTTCTTGTTCTTATACCTTTCCAAAAATAGTACTGCAACTTGTTAGATGCTGATTGCTAGGACTGCCTTAAGAGATATGATCCAGGAGAACCATGTTTATGAGAATGAGTCCTCCTTGATTATCCCTCTGATGCATCTTAGTTTCTCAGCAATGGTTTTGTTTTCAAATACAGAACGGCTACTGATCGTAGAACTTGGCTACCTTCCTCTTCCCCCTACCCACAAACACACAAATCATTAAGACAGGATTGGATATCATTCTTCTGACCCTGGTTTGGGATTAGCATCCTCTTACACCAAGTACTACAAAAATTTCAAAGTTCATGGCTCATGGTTTCAAATATTTTCTTCTGAAAATCTGAAATATCAGATATTCTCATTCTCTTGAAGATAGAATAGCAATGTGACACATCTATCTTCTTTCTCTTCCTTCCTTCCTTCCTTCGTTCCCCCCCCCCTCGATTTTTCAGGGAAATCGCCACAAGATTCTGGAATGTCCTTTCCTTCTTCTTTACCATCCAGGAGTTCAATCAGGAGCCCAGGCTCTTGCCCAACATCACCCTGGGCTACAATGTCCATGACAACTATCTGGATGTAACAATGGCTTCTGATGCCCTCTTAAGCCTGCTCTCCACCAAGCAGGCCAATGTGCCCAATTATAACTGTGGGAGACAAAATCACCTGTTGGCTGTTCTAGAAGGGGCCAACTCTGGTATCGCCATCCAGATTTCATCGATGTTGAGCATCTACAAAATCCCACAGGTGAGTTCACATGTGCAGGAAACATTGGCAGGCTGAAATTAACTCTGCTTGGGTTTCCTTCAGCAGGGAGTTGGACTCGATGGCCTTCATGGCCCCTTCCAACACTAATATTGGGTTTTCAGTGAAGGACAACATAGAAAAGCTTTAAATAAATATGTAAATACTATTCTATGATTCTATGAATCCAACAGTTATCTGGAGAATTTCAGTGGGGACATCCTGTCATAGTGGAACCAGGAGATGTGAAGGCATAATGATTTGGATCCACAATGAGGCAGGAAGGAACAGAGTTCCTTGAGCCCCCACACCCTAGTCCTGATCTGAACTAAGAAACACTGGAGATTTGTGAAAGAGAAATCCTGCACACAGACAAATCCTGTACTTGATGACATGTTTGTTTTCATGAGACATGACATGTTTTTAGCTGAAAAATCAAGGGGAGACTCAGGGACAATGGTGATGGGGAAACATGACTGTCGTCAATCACCCTAAGAATCAAGTTATATGATCCTGGTTGGGGTTTGGGGTTCTGTTTCTTGACCATGTGAGACACTGCTGAGAATGTGGGATAAGCAAATTCTTGTTCTATTATTCTAAAGCTGAGAGAGACGATTTACCCACTAAGAGATTTAATCTAGTCCCAGCTCAGAAACGACTGAGACATAGAAGAAGTGTGTCCATTTTCCACTGATGGACACTAAAGGGGATGGGATTCAGTGCAATGTGTGAGCTTCAAAATCAGAGATGTGTCCTCACCCAAGGTCCTCCTTGATCTTCATTCATCATAAAAACTGTGACAATTCTGTCACTATTAAATCATCAAGATTTTTTGCTATTGGGCAATAGACAGGATGATGATGAGGAGGAGTTACAAGTTGCACCATCTGAGTGGGATGGTGTGACTTGGTGTCCTGCAACAACAGGGGGTTGGATCCCATGGCCTTCATGGCCCCTTCCAACTCTAATATTCTATGATTCTATGATGATGGAAGCTAACAAATATTTGTGCTTTGCTCTGAAACAAAACTCATTCATCTCTGCCTTTCTCTACTAGGTCTCCTATGCCTTTGTCTCTCATGTTCAGAATGATAAAATTCAGTTTCCATTTTTCTACCGGGTGTTCCCCAAGGATGATTACCTTTACCTGAAGATTGTCAAATTGATTCTCCATTTCAGGTGGACAACTGTTGGGCTCTTTGCTCCAGACACTGACAGTGGAGAGGTGTTCCTCAGGACTTTGACACCTGAACTCCACAGGAAGGGTGTTTGTGTAGCTTTCTCTGGACACATCCCAGCCCTGAATACCAAACAAATCCGGATCCGTCATTCTTCATTCCACACATGGACACAAGTCAACGTATATGTTTATTATGCAGACACCATTTCCTTCCTGGAAGGGATGTACGTTATGCAGACAATTGCCGAGAAGTTTATACAACCCATTGTAGGCAAAATCTGGGTTACAACAGTGTTGTGGGACATCACTTTTGAGCTGAGATATAGTAAGTTCTTTGTAGAGAATATTCATGGCATTTTTTCTTTCTTCATCCCAACCATTCAAACAGTGGATGATGTTGACTTGAGAACCTTTTTCCTTCTGCTCAATCAGTGGTGGGAATCATTCAGATGTACATACTCAAGGCATCCCTTGTCTGTAAAAGGCTTTACCAGATGCATAGCGAGTGAGAAACGGGAGGCCATTTCCCAAGAGGACGTGGAAAGGACCCTCTCTGTAGACAGCTACATCATTTATAAATCTGTCCAGGTCGTGGCTCATTCCCTAAATGCTGCTTATGCATTGAGGTCCAAGAGGAGGATGGAGGAAAGAGGAGAGAGTCTGATCCAACCATGGCAGGTACTCCCTTTTGGACCACAGATATCCACACTGAATCAACAGCACAATTCCAAACTCATTCCCTTGGATTTGGATTCCCCTTCTGATTTTAGGATTTCCCAGGATCAATTACACAATTGTTTGTACCATTCCAGAATCATTACTTTGACTTTAGCATATGCAAATATGAAACATAGTAGGGGAAATGTATATTTGTAGAGCAAGCCCAGTTTCAATGCTCTGTGTTCTGGTTCCCTATTTTGCCCCTTTTGTGGCCTCAGAAGATTCAGCCCATCTGGATGTTGCTTCTATCAAAGACATGTTTAAAATATGCTGTGTGGAGAAAGCAGAGGAGATATTTTTCTCCCACACCCAAACACCTGAACCTGGGGGTCATCCCATGAAGCTGATGGGTGGGAGGTTTAGGACAGACAAAAAGAAGTGCTTCTTCACACAACATATAGTTTAAAGTATGACATTTGCTGCTATGGGAAGTGGTGATGGCCACCAATCTGGGTGGCTTTTAAAGGGGACTGGACCGATTCATGAGGGAGGAGGCTATCCATGGCTACTAGCCTAGCTGGCCACATGCTCCCTCCTTTACCAGGGGTGACATGCCTGCACACACTAGTTGCCAGGGTCTTGGGCAGCAGGAGGTCTTGTACCCATTCTGCTTGGGGGATCCTGTGGGCAGCTTGTTTGCCACTGTGTGTACAAGTGCTGGACTAGATGGACCTTTGGTCTGAGCTGGCAGGCCTTCTATTCTTCGGATCTTATAACTCTTGACAACCACATCTGTGTCTGCAGTGGCCTCTTTCCACTGATCTGGCATGAGAATGAGGCTCTCCCCCAGCCTCAGTTTGGGGGGCCCCATGGTGGGTGGACTGTACTCATTCCCACCAGCCTTCCTGTAGGGGTATGTGAGGAATCCATTTAGTTAAAACTGGTAGAGCAGAGTAGAATTGATGTTGCTGTGGTTACATTTATATCCTGGCTTTTCTCCTCTTGTGAGGAAGTGCATAGGAACTTACATTGCTCCTTTTTACCCCCTCAAGAGCAGCCCTCCAAGGTGGGTTGGGCTGAGAGTCATGCGAACCCCATGAAACCCAGATCCCTGGGTCCCCAGTCAAAGTTTATAACCACCACACCACATGGGAATGGTCTGGAACTGGGAAGCAGGTCATTTTTTCCTCCTGGTGGAGCTTTCAGTGCAACAAACCCAAAGAAAAAGGCACCTCCTTGTCCATCTAGGTTTCTTGGGACTTTTCTTGAACTTCCCTCTTGAAGAGAGAGCCAAGGGCCTCTCTCTTCAAGCAGAACTCAGGCAAATAAAATGGAACGAATTTTCAGTTTCCTGCCCCAAGTTGAGCAATGCCGATCTTAGAAAACCCATTTTATTTCTGTTTAATCACAAGATTGAAAACAATCCTTCATGGAGAGAAACATTTACTGAGAATTCTCTTTCATAACACAGCAGCCAAGTGAAAAGAATCCAAGAGGTTTATCTATAGAAAATAGGAAGGAAGGGTGCCATGGTGAAGAAAAAAGGCACCAAACATACATGGAATGTCAGACACGCACCATGAAATCAACAAAACTAAACTAGTGCCTTTTTTCTATTCAACCAAAGTTTTGTTTTCAAGAGTATATGCAAAGTTCATTGCTGAGGGGTTGGTCTGAGAAGAAGCATCTTGGCCATCATGCAGATGGTATATGCTAAGATCCAGAAGCAGTGAGTGAACTCATTTAAGGTGATCTCAAGATGGTAGTCACCTCCTTATGGTGATCTCTGTTTCTGATGTCCATTCTTTAGCTAGAAATATGAAAATTACTTTGTGCCCAGGCCCACCTTCTTAATTCCTCTAAGTTCACATCTCAAAACACCCAACCAGTTTGAAGCAGCCTATTTGAAGAAGCAGTTAAGGCTGAGGTTGCATGTCACAGGATAAAAAAGAAGTAAAATAAATTGAAATATGCCTATTCAGGTTGTCCATCAGGTTGGGTCCATGGAGTTACCGTTGCTGTACCATGCTGAGAGCAGAAGTGGAGGGTTCTCAACCAGACAGAGGACCTTCGACAATGAAAACCAGTCTCTAAAATCGCATATTTAAGTCCTTGAGTATAGGACCACAGTCAGTGAGGGGGACCCAGAAAGAAATAGGCTAAACGGAGGTGTTGAACTTGGCATTCTTTTCTCCCCAAGTGCTGGTGTTTTTTGCTCCTTTTCTAGCTCCACCCTTTCCTGAAAGACTTCCAGTTTTACAATTCCTCCATGGATGGAGTACATTGGGATGTGGATGGGGATCTGGCAACAGACCTTCACATTGTGAACTGGCTGGTGTTTCCCAACATATCGGTTCTTCGCGTGAAATTTGGGACTATCAAGAGGCAAAGTGCTACAGATTTCAAGCTTACCATTGATGACGATGCCATTGTGTGGCCCAAATGGCTCCACCAGGTGGGGGAATCTCTGCACTTCCTTTTGCTGTAGTTACCATGCCTTAACTTCCGATAACGGGAACTAGCTCTGTGGACAGGCTCACTAAACACAAGTCACAGTAATTTTTCACCATTGGTGGTCTACTCTAGCCAAACAGCTTTGCATTTTCAAACCATGTTGGCAGCCCTTTTGGCGGGTCATTATTCTCACACTCCAACAGACCAACATCTATGTATTTGTAGTTCTCCTGTAGCAGAGAATCTTCCCCATTGCAATCTTCCTGTCTGCTATATAGAGTTCTGAGAAATAAATATTTAGTTGGAATTTTATCTTCCATTGATGAATACTCAGAATCCAAGGTTTTTTAATGTTATCAGATAACAATGCTCAGTATCTCTGTTCACTTTGGCAGCTATGAAGATGAGAAACAGAGAGACAGAGTGAGTCAGAAGGGGCCTCCCCAACCATCTAGTCTGACTCCCAGTTCCAGCTGGCTCTGCTCATGACATGCCTACCTTGTGCATGTCAAAGGTAGCATCAATGCGAGTAACTGATAGCAATTACACTAGTTTTTATTCTACTTTTATTTTTTATTTTTTTTTACATCTGTTCTTAACAAAATTCCCTAATTTTTCACTCTGGTGCTTGTAAATTTTGTAATGGCCTATGGCAAAATACAATAAAACTTGACATGACTTGACTTGCCAAACAGCTGCCAGAGGTGACCCTATTCCACTAAAACTCATCTTTAAGGCAGGAGTGGGTGAAAAACTGTGGGGCCCTTTGAAATGGAGTGGCTGCTCCCATGCCTCCTCCCTGCCTGCCTGAGGGAAGCCCCTCACATGCACAGGAGGGATGGAGAGAATCAGATAAATAGCAGGGGCTGGATCAGGGCTGCCCCACCCAGACTATTTCCCTGCTGCCCCCGCAACCCCATTCTTGCTTTCAGTTGCCAGAGCAACATCCCCAACCCAGGTCCTGCAATAGGAACAAGAAAGGGGTGCGAGGACTACTACTCACTTATTAATTTATTCACATACTTATATGCCACCTATGACTGCCAGAATGGCCTTCCTGGGCAGCTCACACTATAAAACAACAGATTAAAAATAGTTAAACGAATAAATCCATAAAACATATAAATGATACAATTAGAATATAACCAGTATAAGTTCCTTCAGCATTCATAGGAGGGTTTAAATATGAAAGAAAAATACTTGTCACCACCAAGAAAGGCACTTAAGTGAATGCTGGGCTAGGGATGTCTCTCTGGCATGCAAGAGTGAGAAAGGGGAACAAGTGGGTTGCAATTATACAAATGAAGGAGATGAGCCTTGTTCCTCCCTGCAGCATCTCTTGGGATATCACCTGGAGGTCTAAGGGGCAAGGAGATGGTGGGAAGGAGGAGAGTTACCTCCATGAGCCTAATTGTCCGTCAGGCACTTCAAGGTGAAAAACCATGAACCATGGTACCCGTGCAGTATTGCTTGCTGTGCCATGAGAACCCAGCCTGTGAGCCTTTCTCGATGTAGCTTTTTCTGTATTGTTTTCAGCTACCAGTGAGAGAATTCAGTTTCACACCCAAACAGCAATTTCACAGGGCCTTTGGGAGCAGGGGAAATCCAGTATTCTTTGCCAAAGCAAAGCAAAGCAAAGCAAAGCGCTAGCTGCCACTGGTGTAGTTGCATTTTTCTGGTGTACAAAAGCACCACCTAGAGGTATTGTAGTGAAAAGGAAGGAACAGAGAATAACTTCACAGATTTGGATTCTGAAACAAGCCTAAAAGTAGAAATTGTGGCCTAGAAAAACTGTATCTGGGGCAGACTTGAAATGCCAGGATATATTTATTTATTTATTTATTTATTATTTTTCTATTTATATCCTGCCTTTTCCTACAAAGGGCTCAAGGCAGCTTACATCATTCTCCTTCTCCATCTTATCCCCACAACAACAACCCTGTGAGGTAGGTTGGGCTGAGAGTCTGTGACTGGCCCAAAGTCACCCAGTTGGCTCCATGGCTGAGCGGGGACTAGAACCCGGATCGCCTGAGTCCCAGTCCCACGCTCTTAACCACTACACCACACTGGCTTTAGAGTTCTTTGAGATCTCTGAGAAAGGTGGGTTTTATCCCAGCTCTGCTACCCACCTAGGCATTCAAAGTCTTGTCTTCTGACAGAGGCTGGTCACCATCTTAAATCTTCTGACACTTGGCTCAGGGTCACTAGCAACTTAAATCATTTATTCATGTTGTTGCAACACAACTACACATGGCACTTTATGGGCTGCAAGAGGATAAGTCCTTGCCTGAAGGAGCTTACAGTCTCACATTTGCCACAAGGAGACAACAGAGGAAAGAGAGCTGTTTCACTTGCATGTACATCAGCAATGTTATAGCTTCCAGTTAGAACTTACAGGAGGAACCCTGGAATTTTTCTGTTCTTACATTGCATAAAGAAATGATCCCTAACCCATTTGTCTTGATGCTGTTTGGCTTTCTGCTCAGCCCCTGCCCCAGTCCAGGTGTGTGGAGAGCTGCCACCCAGGATTCTTCAAGGTGGCTCGGGAAGGAAAGCCCATTTGCTGCTATGACTGCACCCCATGTGCAGAAGGGACCATCTCCACTCAAGAAGGTGGGTGACCTCTGGGGGAAGGACAACCATTGGGGAAGAAAACTGTGAGCCACATTTAGGGTGATATTTTAAAGGCATTTCTGAATTCCTTTGCTGCACCATTCACAATTGATTTCACAGCCTGAGTCACGGGAGGCTTGGAGGTTCGAATATGGGTGGATGGGGCATGAGATAGCACTACCAGCTTGTAGAGGTCTTACACCATATTCTCTAAGGTCATTTTGTTGATGCAGTGGGAGAGAGATCCTTATGGTGCATCCACCAGGAACATGTTCAGAGTTTGTGGTCATTTCCACGTTGCAGATGATCTGCAAGGAGTGCATCTACCCCAAGTAGCCTCATCCACCCTTTCTTTGGTGTCGACATGGGGCTGGTGTAACAGGTTTAGCTGTTCCTTGCAGAGCCTTTTGTGTGCCATGCTTGGATTCACCTGACTTCACCTTTCCTACTTGGGGAAATCAGAGGGTGAGCAAAGGTCATGAGACTGTCCTTGCAGGAGTTCCCAGAGCACAGAAGCTACCTCACTCCCACCAAAAACATGCCTTTGTTATCTCCAGTCAGAGTTTGGAGATAACAAGATGGTTTCCCATATGCAGGAGTGGGTCTTGGAGAGTTTGCCTTAAGGGATAAGGATACGGTTAGGGTTAGGGTTTGGTTAGGGTGCCTCATGCTCCACAGCATGCCTCAAGTTACCCACCTGTGCACTAGCAAATGAGACAATTGCATGCAAGACTATTACTGTAGTTCCCCAGTTGATCTCTGTTGGGATCAATGCCTTTTAACCAGTTTACATTGGACCTGGAGTTGTCAGGTGGTAAGCAGTGAGGTGGTTTGCTACCTGACAACACCAAATTATTGAGCGTGGTTAAATTAGAAAAAGTGTCCAAAGAATTTCTCCCATCTGGGGAAGTAATCCCTGCTGAGCGAGAAGCTTAGAATGGAGAGAATTTATCCCCACCCAAACTTAACTATATGTAGACTCCCCAAACTAATTCTGAGGACATAAATAATCCACACATCTTGTCCTCTAGAACTATTTCACTTTTGGCCACCTGCAATGGAAGAAAGTCACCAGTTGGGCAGCCTTCATTCAATCTACGTTCCTGTACTTCCTTTCTGCCTGGCTAATTTTCCAACACTGAGTTGAGCATGGCAGAAAGTCTGTGAACACTACAGGGATGGCTTCCGATGCATTTTGTCCCAAGATGCCTCTGGGATCCTCTTTTGGTTAGCACCAACAACAAACCTCAAGGGCACTGGGAGCCTCCTTCAATTGCAGGAAAAACAAATATTTGCTGGTGTATATAATTTCCTGACTGCCCAATTTCCAAAGCTGTTTACAACAGCTAGTAAAGCAGGGCCACAATACAATAAGAAGTCCGAAAAGCAAACTTTAAAAACAACTTAACAGCGAAAACAATATCTGATACAGAGTAGACCTGTTAAAAATACCTGGCACAAGTGCACCCATTAAGCCATTTAATCATTTAATATCATAGAGTATCTTTAAATACCTAAGGATGACAGAGTTGGCACCAGGCAGGCCTCAGTGGAGAGATCATTCCAAAGTTGGGGGTCACCAACTTCCAAAGGTTGAATTTGAAGGAAGACAGATTTGGAGTTGCAGAATTCCAGAAGTTAGTTTGAGGTTTCCTGCAAGTCAAGCTCAATCAATAAGCTTCCTCAGCCCTGGATTATTTCAGGGTACTGTTCCCATTCTTTTCAGATTCAGACACTTGCGACACATGTCCAGAAGAGCAGCTTCCAAACAAAGACCAGGAACAATGTGTCCCCAAGGAGATAACTTACCTCTCATATGAACACTCTTTGGGAACAATCCTGGCTTCCTTTGCCCTGCTCTTGTCATTAAGCACAGAACTGGTGTTAGGACTCTTTATTAAATTCTTAGAAACACCAGTAGTGAAAGCCAACAACCGAGACCTGTCCTACATTCTCCTTGTCTCCCTCCTGCTCTCCTTCTTGTCCTCCTTCCTCTTCATCGGCCGGCCAAGGAAAGCCACCTGCCTCCTCCGACAAGCAGCCTTCAGCATCATATTCTCAGTGGCTATTGCTTCTGTGCTGGCAAAAACGATCACTGTGGTGATGGCCTTCTTGGCCACCAAGCCAGGGAACAGGATGAGGAGATGGCTGGGGAAGAGTCTGGCCAATTCCATTGTCATTTCTTGCTCCACTATTCAAGTTGTCATCTGCACCATCTGGCTGGGCATGTCTCCACCCTTCCCTGATGCTGACAAGCACTCCCAGGCAGGACTGATCATCCTGCAGTGCAACGAAGGCTCTGTGGCCATGTTCTACACTGCCCTTGGCTACATGGGTTTCCTGGCTGCCGTCTGCTTCATGGTGGCCTTCCTGGCCAGGAAGCTGCCTGGGGCCTTCAATGAGGCCAAGCTCATCACCTTCAGCATGCTGGTCTTCTGCAGCGTCTGGGTGTCTTTCATGCCCACCTACCTGAGCACCAGGGGCAAGTACATGGTGGCTGTGCAGGTCTTCTCCATCCTGGCCTCCAGTGCTGGGCTGCTGGGTTGCATTTATTTTCCTAAGTGCTACATCATTATCCTGAGGCCTGACCTGAATAACAAGGAGCATCTCATGATGAAAAGTAAAGCATGAATTGCCAAGGAATGTGGCAAGGATGTGACTGGGGGAAAGTTTGGCAAACATGGTTGTCATGTCATGCTCCAGTGTCCAAATTCTCATCTGCACCATCTGGCTGAGAAAATATCCACCCCCCCCCCCAAGTCTGACATGCAATCCCAGCCTGGAAAGATCGTCCTACAGTGCAACGAAGGCTCTGTGGCCATGTTCTATGCTGCCCTCAGCCACATAGGCTTCTTGGCTGCCATCTGCTTCACAGAGGCTTTCCTGGCCAGGAAGCTGCCCAGGGCCTTCAACAAGACCAAGCTGATCATCTTCGGTATGCTGGTCTTCTGCAGTGTCTGGGTGTCCTTCATGCCCACCTCCTGATCACCAAGGGCATGTACATGGTGGCCATACAGTTCTTCTCCATCTTGGCCTCCAGCGCTGAGCTGCTGTGCATCTTCCTCCCCAAGTGCTACATTATTTTGTTGAGGCCTGATCTGAATGCAAACGAGCACCTGATGGTAAATAGCAAAATAAATATGCAACTTGCATGGAATTGTTCCTCAGATGCCTTATTTCACAACCACAAAAGGTCTGCTTCCTATTCATCTTCACTCCAATGTTTCTAGTCACATATGGATGTTATTTGGGGTTACACCCCTGCCTCTAAGAAGAGTTGGATGAAACCTTTTGCAATTTATCCCTCAGGCATCTGTGGACTTCTACATGGACTGGTCCTACAAAGCAAGCCAAGCCAAGAGGAAGCCTGCAGATGTTGGGGAACCCCTGGTTGCACCACAGGCATGCTTCTGCATCAGGTGCAGCTGCCCAAAGACTGGAAGTTCCAAACACAGGAGAGGGGTACTGCTTGCACAGCTTTTGGGTCTTGACTCCTTGCATGTGGGATCCAGAACTCAGAGTCAGCCCCCCTGCCAATCAAACTGGTTTCCGGAGTGCTGAAACCAGGGAAATCAATGCCCTCCCACCCTGGAGTGGATTCCTTGCACATCCCTTCTTCTAGACACTTTTCACTGTGATTATATAACATCTTACATTAATGATATGACCAGAATAAAAAAAATCTCCATAGTTCCAATTTAGAAATTTAGGGCTCCTTTCCCTCCTCTCTCTGAGAATAAGGCCCTTCATTCTGAGGGATGATACTGGTTTCCAGTTGCACCTGGAAATGTGGGGTGGAGCCTTCAGCAGCATGGATGGATGCTCCAGCCATCCTGAGATGCCATACATAAAGGATGGCATATAAACATTTTAAATAAATAAATGTGTCTCCTCTGGTGAACAGACCCCCAGGATGTCAGTCACCTGCTCTGGCCCTGGAGGCCACACAGCTCCCTAGCAGTGCCCTGGATGAACCAGGCATCTCTGCAGCATTTTTCCCAAACAGCCCCCATTTTCTGGCATTTTGGAGCCGGGTGTGGATCTGGAAAACCTTCACTGCAACAGGTTAAATGAAAAGGAGTCTCTTTATTCTCCAGAGACAGGGATGCCCTCTTCATTAAGGTGATTAACCAGGTATAAATGAACAAAAGTTCCATCATTATGAATCTCAGAATTCAGCAAGTCATCAAATGACACCTACAGAGCCAGTAACATAAAACTTGGCATCTGAGATCAAACTGAAGAGCTCTACAATGGTGCCAATTTATAAACATGAAACCTTATAAGTAAAGCAAGAGAAAAGTACTGAAAATTACATTTCTATTTTATAGATCAAACCATGGCTCAATATATCATAGAATTCATTCAGATTTTGAAGAAAACAATGCATGTTTTTAGGTTTGTCAAAGAGGCATGCTGTTCTTGGTTTTCTGTAGAAATTCCGAAATCAGCATTGATTTTCCTGCTGCATCACATTCCATCCAAGAAACTCCTGGCTGAGTTATCCTGAGCATGCTCATTCCAGTTATAAATGCTGCCAGGGGTCTATTCCAGAAGTCTTCTGTGTCTTTTCATTTAGGTATATGGTGTGATCTCACTTAGATATAAGTGCATGGATTGTAACCTTGGTCTGGGAAGGTGGGGAGATGTTAACACTTTGCCTTCAGGCCCCTCTGCTGTGCTTCCAATCACAGTAGGCCTCTTCTGTATAGTCGGCCTCTACTGTACGGGTTCTTTGGTGTTTAGTAAGACCTACCCTGATATGATGTATTCTCTGATGTGGTGCTAGGTCTGAGCTATGTCTGAATTTCTTTGCACACTGCATGCACTTACGATGATGAGATCTAGAGCCTTTTGAAGTTTGCGCTCCACTGTGAGCTTTCTTTTGCCTGGCTAAGGAAGGTGTGGCAGAACAGGGATTAGTCGGGGAGATGATGCCCAGCAACCATCCAGCTGTGTTTTCTTCCTCTTGGACCAGTCCCAGCTCTTGCTCTGGATTCAGCCTCCTGGTTCAGCCCATGTGCCAGCTCCACTAGCAGTAAGGGAGCCAGCTAAGTTGTCTTTGAGAAATGCCTCTTGCCCCATCTATCCCCCAGCTCACTACTGTTGACATGTAGCTCCAAGGAGTTCTTACAGGGCAATGTTCCTCAGCCTGATTGCCTCCAGATGTCTGCTTCCAGCATCACTCATCATTGGTCCTGCTTCCTGGATCTGATGGGAGCTGATGTCCAAACCAACAGGAAGATGCCTTTGCTATCGGGAACTAAATGCCCCCCATCCTGTATGAAGACTTGGATGGGATGAAGTCGAAGTCAGATGTCCATGTCCTGAGTCTGCACTGGAGAAAGGAGGATCTCCAGAAACATTCAGATTATGCTGTCTAGGTCCTGTGATGAATGAAGCTGCAGCCCTCCTAGCTCCCCACCACTACCCAAAAGAAAAAGGGGTGGGTAGGTGTGTTTGGGTGGGGTGTATTATCTTTCCTTATGCAGACAGCTGAGCTTCTGGTTGACCTGCAAAAGGTATTCTGCCTATTATGGATTTTGGAACTATCCAATGGATGCCTTATTCCATTCATTGTCTCTTGCCAAAAACCCCGGGGTGTTTTCACAGTCCTTGAAACCAGCATTTTGTTCTAGCAACAACACTATGTGGTAAGTTAGGCAGAAAGCCCGTCACTGGCCTGAAGTCTCCCAGTGATTCCCATCTTTAATATATGCACATGAATTTGAATATATCCATAGCCATGATGACATAAGAAATGTCTATGCATGAAAAGACAGCTTTTTAAGAATTAAACATGGACTTGCTCCTTCTCTCCTCCCAACCCCTTTCTTTGCAATTTCTTTCCTTTCCAAGCTTTGCGGTTTCAATTCCATTCACCCCATTATTGTGCTGTTTCTCCCCACCCCATCCTCAAACTTTTTTGTTTCTCTCCCCCCACAGCTCTTTACCCCCCTGTTTATCATCTAAGCCTTGTTGTGTGTCTCTGTTCTACCCCTTCACCTTAATAACCGGTTCCCATGCAGCTTCTAGCCATGCTGTTTCTCTTTCCTCCCATTTCTTTTCATACACACCCCCATGAAAGTCATTTCTGTGGAAACCGTTTTGAGTGGGGCCCATAGCAGGCCCTCAAACTCCCAAAATTTTTATTTATTTATTTATTGATTGATTGATTTATATCCTGCCTTTTTCCTACAAAGGGCTCATGGCAGCTTACATCTCCTCCTCCATCTTATCCCCGCAACAACAACCTCTGAGGTAGGTTGGGCTGAGAGTCTGTGACTGGTCCAAAGTCACCCAGTTGGCTCTATGGCTGAGCAGGGACTAGAGCCCACATTGTCTGAGTCCCAGTCCTATGCTCTTAACCACTACACCACATTGGCTCTCTTGGGCCAAAAAATGTGTCAGTCAGGCCAAAAAGACTGGGAACCCCTGCTCCATGGGTAACTAAGTCAAGTTTACACTGGCAAATATCACAGCAGATTTTGGGGTAAACCAAAATGCAGTAAAAGTTTATAAGTGATATGAATAGAGTGAAGTGTATGTTTGTAGATGGTGAGGATCATTGTTAACAAAAACAAAAGTCTGTCCACTGAATAGTTAAGACTGAGAGAAGTATTTTGTTTAACAAAGAACAACTAGATATGACTATACCCTTTAGAAGTGGAATTAGAAGTGGATTTGGAAAAAGAAACATGGAAACACAGAAACAGAGTGTGCCAGAAGGGTCCTCCTGGGCCATCTAGTCTGACCCCTGGCTCATAACATGCATACCATGTGCATGTCTAGCCTATCCTTGAACACCCTCACAGATGCGGCTTCAACCACCAATCTTGGAAGCCCATTCCATACCCTAGGGGTCCTAACCATCAGGAAGTACTTTCAGCATCCACCTTGAATTTTGAATCTTGGTTCTCTGAGCTTTGCTCCATTGGAACTTGTCCTGCCCTACTAATAATAAATGTCCTATTATTATTGTTACTCTTACTACAACTACTACTACTACTAATTTACTTCTATATCAGCCAATAGTCAAAGTTTTCTGGCCAACTTAGAAGAGCACATAGAATACAATTGAAATAAAATATAAAAATACCGATAACAGTAAAAACATCATAAAAATTATACTACAAGATTGAAAAGCCAAGTTTAAAACCAAAATTAAAAAGCTACAATTATTAACCCAAAAATAAATCACATTACTAGTTAAGCAGTTGACTTAATGCCTCAGTTTGCTGTTTACAGCTAAATAAATGCCCTGTCACTGAGGGCAATGGTAGCTTTCACACCATTTTTACTTGATGTATGAGTTTTGATACAACCATTTCACACTGAATAGTTTATCACTGATATAATATAACTGCCTTTGTAAGTACTTATGCTGATTTGCTTTTAAGCTATTTTTCCCTTTGTTGTTGTTGTTAGTCACAAAGTCATGTCTGACCCATAGCAACCCCATGGACAACATTCCTCCAGGTCTTCCTGTCCTCCACCATCCCCCGGAATCCACCCAAGCCCATACCCACTACTTCAGTGACTCCATCCAGCCACCTCATTCTCTGTCGCCCCCTTCTTTTTTTGCCATCTATTGTTCCCAGCATTAGGCTCTTCTCCAGGGAGTCCTTCCT